CCATAACTAAATGCCCGATTGAAATGAGGTCATCTGTGACGGGCTCTAGTTTAGGCCCGATTGAGATCAGTAGTCATCTGTGACGGGCTCTAGTTTAGGCCCGATTGAGGTCAGTAGTCATCTGTGACGGGCTCTATTTTAGGCCCGATTGAGGTCATCAGTCATCTGTGATGGGCTCTAGTTTAGGCCCGATTGAGGTCAGTAGTCATCTATGACGGGCTCTATTTTAGGCCCGATTGAGGTCATCAGTCATCTGTGACGGGCTATAGTTTAGGCCCGATTGAGATGAGTATCATCTGTGACGGGCTCTAGTTTAGGCCCGATAAAGGTTAGTAGTCATCTGTGACGGGCGCTAGTTGTGACCCGATAGAGATAGGTCATCTGTGACGGGCTATAGTTTGACTGGTCGTCTGGGTCAAAGCTATCTGTGACGGGTTTTACTTAGGTCCCGATTGAGATATATTCATTCGCGACGGCCGTTTGCCCGATTGAGATAATTCTTCACATCAGTGACTTCTAGTCTGTGACGGACGCTGTGCCCGATTGAGATGGGGCTTACTGCCTAATTAAGATAAGGGTATCCGTTCTAGTGGTAGCTCGTAAGGAGGATCCTCATATATATGAGTGTCCTGCACTAACGGCCAACGCCCTTATCCGCACAGGAGGAATGGGCGATTTTGGCGCCTTTCCGCGGGAAGCTCTTCTCAAAGCACACGTTTCCGGCATGCAATTGAATCGATCCCAAAAACTGCTCATAAATATCTGAAAATTGCTCGTGTTTATATTTGGTGTTGCTATCTATCGCTTCACAACTTGCAGTGGGCCTTAAAAAAAGATTGCCTTTGGCGGTGTGCCCACAGGCTAGACACAGCTCGATCGGGTAGTACCTTTCAAGATGAAGACTGCATGGAAGTATTTATACACACTAACACAAATGAGGTCTGAATTTATCAAAAATATAGTCATACAGTTAGTCTGAACAAAGCCTTACATAGCATCAGTAGAGTAAGTAAGTAATTGAGGAGGTTTTTTTTTTATCGCGTTAGAAATTGTGGCCTTTTCAAATATGCATTCCTCGTTGGCCACAAGCAATATCGGGTAACTAAATAGCAGCCATGGCCGTCCATGAGCTTATGACCATGATGAAATGGACGCAAAACGGCAAAAACAAACATGTTGAAATATATAATCCTGTGGATCTCCATGCTCCACATGAACAAGTACTCGCCTGATTGTCTGATGGCCAATGGTACGCGGTCTCCGGTGCCTTGCAGAGATCACCAAATCGCTGCTTGCAGATATCCTCCCAGATTGTCTGATGGCAGCAAGTTAATAGTACAGCCCACTACTAGCTCCAAATTATTTATACCCGATGTAATAGCTAATTCATACAATAGTTGCTTACTATAATATTAATATCTAATCCCATCTGTCATACACACATTACGTTTTGGAGTCCGTGCTACAACTGACTACAGATTTATAGTCCGCTACTCTTCTCTCTCTTCCTTTATCTCTTTAAAATATATTTATAGCTGGCTTATAGCCTGCTATTGTACCTGCTCTTAGAGCAAGTCTAGTAGTACAGCTCGGTGCTTACTCCAATCTGCAGTCATACCATAGTAATAAAAGCATTATTCTTTAAACAATCATTTTCCTCCTAGTGCCATGCACTCTCTCTCCTAACATAAGTGGCAGTGCATGGCAATGAATTACTGGAATTGCTCAAACTTACCTTAGAGTGCAAGTAGAGCCGGCGCTTAAACAGTCGCCCGTTGGTACCTTCTCTCTCCTTCATCTCATTATTAGAATCGATATAGTAGGCTTGTAGCTGGTTATTGTACCTGCTCTTAACGGCTGAATGGTGCCACCTTCCCGAATCCCGCTGATGGATCCTATTCGTGTTGCTAGTCAATATTGTGACATGGTTTGTGTCAGGGTTATGGATACCACATATCTAATAGTAGTTGACTAAATCTCGCCAGGACCCACAACATACCATGTCTTATATGGAAACAGCTTTCGGATATAGGAGGGATTCCGGATAAGGAAGGATGAATAGAGTTCTACATGGAATTACAAGGACTACTCGGATTGTATCCATATTGGTTTTCCTAGTTCTACTTGGACAAGGGGACATCTATGGGTATAAATACAATGCCCCCTAGGAGGAGAGGGGGGACGGAACAATAGATCAAAACACAAGATCAACATACAAGCTAACATGCGCCAAGACAAGACGCCGGATATCGACTTCAGAGATAAGCATGGCTAGTCCCCTAAGATGTCTACGGATACTGTCAGGAGAGACATAGCGCTGTCTTTAATTTCGCCGGATGCGGATTCGAGGAGGAATGCTACCCTGTTGTCGACTGCGAGTCAGCACTTCAGACCGCCAAGTCGACAACAGTTAGATAGGCTACCCCAAATATTATACTGGTGTGATCATGGTGAATAAGAGCAACGACTGGCTTCAGCCAATAGAAGTATGGTTATTACCTGACAATTCAGAGGCCCGAACCTGTATAAAAATCCTCGTCCCCATCTTTTTTACTACAATCTCGCATATATCCTAGTACCAACGATCCCCATACTATGCAAATACCGGAATCGCGACATCAAACGTCGACAGTTTGGGTCACACAACTTCGTTCAGATTTCGTTGCCTAAAATTTGAAATTAATAAAATAGAAGGTACTTCATTCCTATCAAAATATAACAACCTAATTAGGACGAAAGATGACGAAGGAAGAAGAATCCAATGAGGGAATATTCCTTTAAGGATAATAAAATTTAATAAGTACCCTTCCATTTCAAACTATACAATGCAACTATCTTTTTCAATGTTTTATAATGTAAGTCACGCACATATACATGCAATTAAGTAACAATTCCTCCTTCCATAACATTTTTTTTTAAAAAAAATCCTCCACCCTCAATATCTCTTTCGTGAAAAAATAAGGTAAATACATATTATTTATTAAGATTATCTAAATGATAAAGTGATAGCAATCATTTTTTGGTTTTATGTTAGTGGTAGTTATGTCTTATATTTTATTTTAGGATAAAGTGAGTTGTGGTTACTAGTATTCCTATCTTACAGTGAACATGCCTAATTAGATCGAAATTGCGAATTCCGTTTTCAAGTTCCAACAGAAACATGGTTTACCTAATTACCTTTCATATAGAGACTTTGATTTGTTCCTTTTTCCTTTTACCTTTTCAAATGGGAATTTCCATTTGTTCTTTGTAATTGCTTTTTACCTTTTCAAACGGAGATTGTACTTTGTTCTTTCGCGTGCGAAATTGGCAGTAGGAGAGGAAACCATCTCAAGAGACCACACGGTCTGAAGAGAATGGAGGCATGATACAAGGAAGCAAACATGTCGTAATAAAAAAAAAGGGTCTCCGGAAGAAAGTCTTTGTCAAATTATGCAAGCAACATTTTCCAAACGCCTTCTCCCGAAATTCTCTCCTCACATGAACAAAATTTTCCGTGGATGAACAAGTACTTCACGTGTCATGCTTGAATGCCAGCTGAATGAAGCTTAAGAAGTACGGCTATTAATTATTTCTCTCTTTGCAGCTGCAGTTGCTTTCTCTTCTTCCCAATGCTGTGGCGATCGAACTCAAATTAGTACTCGCTGTAGAAGTACCTAACGAAATCTCTATAATTATTTGCCGGAATTAACTCGTCACAGCGACATTCATTGGCCATCATTTGCTTGTGAAATTAAGCACTGTATATCGCTTCAACTTGAAGCTGCCAATGCTGGCATAAATTCAACGTAACGCCAGGCCGAGTGTCCAATTTTTATACGGCCTGATGATGAAGCGATCGATCTCATCGTTTGAGTTTGACATCTTCATTTCACTCCTCGATCATTCGAGCCTATCCTGTTATTATTTTTTTTTCTAGTCCACATCACCATGACAACAAGATCAGGAATTTGTAGTATATACGTTTCTTTCGTTTTTCCTTTTTGCAGAAGAAAGCCTTTTGACCCAACAAAAACTAACAGAAGTACAAAGCAGAACTTGATGGTTTGAATTGTTCGCCGGTTGGTTTATGGTTCATATATGTGACGAAGAGAGATGTTTTAATTTATGGCAAGTGGACATCGACTCATTGCTCCATCTTCTAGCTAACTGCACGTGCGCGATTCACTGTATATTCGCAATATTAATATCAACTCGCTGGAGTTTTCAGTTGCCCCTTTTGAATGGATAACGGAGATTTATTCAGAAACAGTTGGCATGGCCATCTTTTCTGATAACGATGTATATCGTCCTGATAATATATGAAGGCATGCTCACTGTTCAGTGCTCAGTATATACTGTAGCCTGTAGCACGATTATTAATTTTCCTTGCATGTTATCTGTTATACGTCTCTGTGATAGTCTGGTAGAGTATCACGTGAACAGACAACGTACTTATGATATACATATACCACGATAATATTGATGTTGGATACACATTTGACTATTTATCTTATTAATATTTTTGCATAATTATCATATTTTGATGTAAGTTATTTTATTACTAAAAATATTTTAATTATGATTTATATCTTATGCATTTAAAGAAAAGGATAAGACAAATTGTTAAACGCAAGTCAAAAATCAACAGTGTCAACTAAAAAAGAGGAAGCAGGTAGTTTTAACTACATTTTCAAAAAAAAAAACATATATGTACTCCCTCCGTCCCAAAAAAAGGCAAACTCTGGGTTTCCATGCCCAACTTTGACTGTCCGTCTTATATGAAATTTTTTTATAATTCATATTTTTATTGTTGTTAGATGATAAAACATGATTAATATTTTATGCGTGACTTGTCTTTTTATTTTTTTCATAATTTTTTCAAATAAGACAGACTGTCAAACGTTGGACACGGAAACCAGGGTTTGTCTCTTTTTTTTTACGGAGGGAGTAAGTAGTTTCATCTTAACATAATCTGATAGTCCCTTGAACTTCAGTCAAAAGGAGGAAGGGAAGGTGGATATCTCATAACTACTGTTCCATACTGCTACTATAATTCGATCTGTTATCGGCTTCTTCATCATAGGCTGTGTTCGTTTCTCCAATAATAATTGGATGAAATTTTAGATACTCGTGACACACTTTTTAACATAATCTGATAGTCCCTTGCTACTTCAGTCAAAAGGAGGAAGGGAAGGTGGATATCTCACAACTACTGTTCCATACTGCTACTATAATCTGATCTGTTCTCGGCTTCTTCATCATATAGGCTGTGTTTAGATCTAAAGTTTGGATCCAAACTTCAGTCATTTTCCATCACATCAACCTGTCATACACACATAACTTTTCAGTCACATCATCTCCAATTTCAACCAAAATCCATTGCGCTGAACTAAACACAACCATAATAGTTGGATGAAATTTTGAATACTCGTGGCACGCTTTTTAAACTGCTAAACGGTATGTTTCGCGCGAAAACTTTCTATATGAAAGTTGCTCTAAAATATTATATTAATATATTTTTTAAGTTTGTAACAATTAAAACTCAATTAATCACACGTTATTACCACCTCGTTTTACGTGAAACACTTTATCTTTATCTTCATGAAATTCAAACACCACCTGTAATATTCCCCGTCAAGAAATTAAAATCGTCTAGAACTAGCTAGTAGCTACTGTGCACCATGCCAACCTTGACAAACAACAGCTCACAGGAACTAGCTATTTAGCTAATGAGTAGCATGGTGAAATAACAAGATTCAGCAACGACAAGGGGTTGAAGCATAGGAGATTTGCTGCCTTCATGCTGTTCAATTTGAAACCATATTCAGTAGAATCGTATGATGAGCAAGCATTACTGAATATAGCTATTTTACCGCCGACCTTGCGCGACAGCGCGAGACGTCGCCACCCTGAGGAGCCACGACTCGGCTTCATCCGTGGGTGGCGGGCCACCTCTGCGGCAGGCCATGGCGGCCGCCCTCTCCCGCCAGCCGCCGCCGCCGCCCAGCTCCACTCCTGCCGCCCACCGCCCTCCATCGCTTGCCGCCACCGCGGCGCCTCGCGTCGGACGAGGAGACAGCCAGCCCTCTCCAAGCTCCTCCTTCGCTCTCCCCACGTGCTCCTCCCCAGCGGCCTCACCCTGGCGGCCTCCTCCCCGGCTTGCCCAGAGAACATGAGAAGAGAAGAGAAGAGTAAGAGAGTGAGAGGAGGAGGAAGATGGGAGAGAGAGATGACGTGGCAGGCTGATATATGGGTCCCACGTGGGTCTCATGCTGATTCAGCCGCCATGTAGGATAAAACCGGGTCAAAATCACTGGAAGACCTATTGTAACCGGTTTTGATTAGTTAAGGGACGTCGGATATCTGGTTTTGCGGTTGGAGGACGATTTTGTAACTCGATGACAAATTGAGGGACCTTCGGTGTACTTTTTCCTTTTGATGTGTGGTCGTCGTATGGGCTGTGCTGTGCCAGATGGGCTAACGTGGGCCTAGTCGTTTGTTGTCACTGCCCGCCGTGATCGTGATCTTCTCTTTGATCTAAGGAAACAAAAAAAAATCTGATGATCTTAAACATCTCACAAGAAGATCATTTACCAAAGGATGAGATCGTATCTCGTACTCGTATGCGGGAATCATATTTCACAGGAATAATTTCATCTGAGGTCCCTTAACTTGTCAACAAATCCGATTTTCATCCTTCAACCAAAAAACCAGATGCAACGGGGTCCTAAACTATCAAAACCAGTGCAGATGAGATCCCTCGGTGGTTTTGAGGGTGGTTTTGGCTGACGTGGCGCCTACGTGGCAAATTTAACTTGGTCTTCATCTGATGTGGCGAATACGTGGCAATTTGATCCGGAAAAATAATAAACTTCGTGGGACCCACATGTCAGTCACACATAAATTAATAAAAAATGGTGGGGCCCACGTGGGCCCCACATGTCATTCTCAGCATCTCCCTCTCTTCAACTAGAGCCCCTCTTCTTCCTCCTCTCTCCCCCTTCTCCCATCCCCGAGGCGGCGGGCAGTGTCTGGGTGAGGGATGGCAGCTCGCGGCGGCCGGGCAGTGTCCGGGTGAGGGATGGCGGCGCGCGGCGGCCGGGCGAGGGAGGCGACGCGCGGCGGCTCAGCGAGGAGGGAGGCGGCGCGCGGCGGCTCGGCGAGGAGGGAGGCGGCGCTCGGTGGCCCGGCGAGGAGAGGCCGCGCGCGGCGGCCGGGTGAGGAAGGAGGCGGCGCTCGGCGTCCCGGCGAGGAGGGAGGCGGCGCTCGGCGGCCCGGCGAGGAGAGGCGGTGCGCGGCGGCCGGGCGAGGGAGGCGACACGCGGCAGCCTGACGAGGAGGGAGGCGGCACTCGGCGGCCGGGCGAGGAGGGAGGCGGCGCGCGGCGGCCCGACAAGGAGGGAGGCGGCGCGCGGGGGCCGGGCGAGGAGAGGCGACGCGCGGCGGCCTGGCGAGGGAGGCGACGCGCGGTGGCCCGGCGAGGAGGGAGGCGGTGCTCGGGGGCCCAGCGAGGAGGGAAGCGGTGCTCGACGGCCCAGCGAAGAGAGGCGACGCGCGGCTCCGACCCGGATGTGACCATCGAGGACGTCGGCGGAGGCGGCCGGGCGAGGAGGGAGGCAGTGCGTGTGGGTACCGAGCGAGGAGGGGCGGCACCGTCCGGTTTGGCATCGCGGGCGGAACGGCTGACGGAGTGTAGCTGTCGCGCTCGCCGGCGACCTCCTCCTCTGCCTCTTCCTCCTCCGGCAACCTCCACCGTCCGCGGCCTGCTGCCGCTCCCCCTGCCCCTCCGCTCCATCCGCCGGCATGCTCCTGCCGCCGCTCCCCGCGAGGACGAGGGAGAGCGAAGAGGAAGAGAAACAAGAGCCGAGAGGGACTTGTGGGGCCCACGTGGGCCCCACCATTCTTTTATTGATTTATGTATGAGACTGACATGTGGGTCCCACGAAGTTTATTATTTTTTCCGGATCAAATTGACACGTATGCGCCACGTCAATGCCATATCAGATGAAGACCAAGTCAAATTTGCCACGTAGGCGCCACGTCAGCCAAAACCACCCTCAAAACCACCGAGGGATCTCATCTGCACTGGTTTTGATAGTTGAGGGACCCGTTGTATCTGGTTTTCCGGTTGAAGGACGAAAATCGGATTCGTTGACAAGTTAAGGGACCTCGGATGAACTTATTCCTATTTCACACAGACGCGCTAGCTTCGTTGCCGACGCACGGTTCGGCCCATAAGACCCATATTGCTGGGAGCAGGGGGCAAGGGGCAGCCCTAGGATCGTTAGGTCGTGTTTTTCTTTTTTCTGAACGATCTGCACAAAGCAGGTTGTGTATTTAAAGTGTGATGGAGTAAAAAAATACAGTTAAAAGCTACTTATGTATTATATTTTGAACTAGAAAAAATACCCGTGCGTTGCAACAGGTAAAAACGTTTTTTATCCTATACATTATTCTCCCTTAGTTTTGGACCCGATACTTTCTTGGTTTTAGACCAGATGCTTATTCCTTCCTTCCTTTTCAGCTCCAGTCCTAGCACAGTCCGCTACCTCTCTCTGCTCGATCTACCTCTCTTCGGCTCAGCCCACGAGTGGAGCTGTAGGCCTAGCTCAAACAGTCTCATGCCTGTACCATTACGAAGCCGATCCTGCCATCAAATCCGGTAATCCGCTCGAGCTCCTCCCATATCCGGTAATCCGCTCGAGCTCGCATAGTCCCGTGTCCGTACGATGACGGAGCCGATCCTCTCCATCAAATCCGGTCGAATCTTACTCCATCTCCAAAATTGTTCTTGCATAGTCTAGTGCCCGTACAATAACGGAGCCGATCCTCTCCATCAAATTTGGTCGAATGTTTCTCCATCTCCAAAAATTGTTGAGGGATTTTGATCCACTCAACCTCCTTTTTCTGTTTTTTTAATCAAAATCGAAGCAATCTGTAAAACTCGGGATAAAAAATGACGAGGATTAAATGGAGATTCAATCCGGTGAATTAAAGCCGAATTGAAAGAGGAATTCAAGGGGAAAATGATGTGAGAGTAGCGGGGAATTGGTTTTTTTTTTGCAATGAATTGGAGGATGAAATATATAGGGAGGCAAATCAACGTGGCGGCGGCGGTAGAGTTTGGCCCGATGGAAAAACCGCAAAAAAAAGCGATAAAAGAAAGGAACCGGAAAAACAGTCAAAGAAAAAAAGTAAGGGAAAAAACGGCAAAAAGAAAATAAAACGAAAAAAGGAAAAGAAAAAAAAAGGGAAAAACGCTGAAAAAAATAAGAAACGCGAAAAGAAAATAAAACGGGAAAAAGGGAAAAAAACGAACGAAAATTACAGGGGGATCGAACTTTTTTTATTTTGGGTTTTTTTCGCTACTTTTTTTATTTTAACGGACAAAGGAAACATCTTATTTTCGCCTTTTTTTTCTTTTTCTTTTGGTTTTTTCGCCCGTTTTTTTTACGTACGATGGATACACCTCTTATTTTTTAAACAGTAGGTATAATAGAAATAGATAATAGATATATGGTCTCTCTTTGTTGAATATATATGGTATCCTTTTGTTTTTTCATACACATATACATCACATACTATATAAACATATTTTATTTTATCAAATATTTTTGGGTATTCATCTTAATACCATTGCATTGCATTGGGCCCACGCCTAGCCCAATGAAAAGAATAAGTTGACTGATTCCTCTTCTTTTAGTTCTCTATTCGCTCCCTCTTTCTTGGCGTTGGTAGAGCGAGAACGTCTCCATCATTATCCATCGACCCACTACATCACCGTGTCACCGTTGTTGTCCTTGTCATCATCCTCATCACCATCTCTGTTCCGGTTGGTCTCCTTCCCTCCCCATCTTCCTCTCTAGCCGTGCGATGCCTCTTCTCTCTCCTAGCCATAGCTCCTCAACCCTAGCTATGCGGGATATGCGGCCATGCGGTGGTGTCTCGAGAGATGAAGCAACAACGATTGAGGCTAAAGGAGAAGAGCATTTGAATATTTAGATGAAAATTTTTGATTTTAGGATTGAGATTTTTATGATTTGTAATTTGAAAGTTTTAGTATTTGAAAATTTTTTGTTTCCGAGAGTTCAGGAACTTGGGTATGCACGGGCTGCTGCACAGCGGCGACGGGAAAAACCACGGGGCGCACAGTCGCACAACGCGCAGGCAACCTGTGGCCCGAGGCTGCACATACGGCGCGCGTACGTCGTCGCATCAGCCTCCGCTGCTGCGAAAGCATCCACCCCCGTTGCCATGGCCGGCCATGGCCACCGTTATCGATTCCCCGCGCCTACCTACGCGTTCCGTGCACCCGCACTCTCCGTTTCTTTCTGCGTCTGCGCACGTAGTACTACGTGACAGACAGTGTCCAGCCCCGTGCCTGCACTGTTCGTACGTGTACTCCTACCAATTTTAACGTACTACTACTACTAGTAGTACCCGAAACGCACGACGCAAACAGCGCCTGTTGCCCGCAGTACTCCGGCCGGTACATGGATCGGCAGCAAACGTCGCCCAGGCACACGGCGTAGTACGTACTCCTACAGTACGAACGTGACGCGACAGCGAAGGACCGAGCGCGATCGTATCGTACGAGTACAAAAAAACCACAAATAATGGCACTTGACGTGGGGCCCCCCACCCCCTCACACTGTCAGTGTCACCACGTACCGGCCCGATCCGTCAAAGCCAGCTTTGACCTGTCCCTGTCCTTGGGATCTCATCGTCGCGCCACAGCCTTTTGCCACTCGCCCCCACCCCCCAAGCCTCGGAAATTGGTGCGCCCTTGTCGTCGTCGCCCATGGCGAGTTGGTCACTGTGGCATGCAGCTGCAGCAGCAGCATGGCAAGCCACTGGTACGTACGGAGCTCTCTCGTCTTTGCGAGAACGACTCATAAACAAACGTGCTCCGAGGAGACGAGAGAGATGGGCTGCACATCACGGTGGTGAAGACAAAAAGTCCTCGCTTTCGTCTCAGGTCACATGCCTCCGTTGTTTTCCAAGCCATTTTTCTATAGTATAGCTACGGGTAGGAGAGTGCTGCACTGCTGCCACTACTACTCTCCGTTCTGTATGTCTCGGGCTCCTTAATCTTATCCCTAACCCCCGTAACTTTGTGCTCTAAACAGCACAGTTATTAATTATGTAAGAGGCCTACTAGCAACAGTGGTAAACCAAAACACACGTTTCCAAACCGAGCTTTTAGCTGATGGTCATCAGAGCAAGTTCTAACAGTACAGCCTACTACTAACTCTAATTCATCTATAACCAATCTAATAGCCAATTCATACAATAGTTGCTTGCTATACTATTAATATCTGGTCCCACCTGTCATACGCACATCATGTTTTGGAGTCCGTGCTGCAGCTGACTACATATCTGTAGCCCGCTACTCTTCTCTCTTCTCTATTATCTTATTAAAATATATTTATAGCGGGCTTATAGACTGCTATTATACTGCTCTCACTCATCTGCAGTCAGACTGTCAGGGCCAGGTTTCTTCTTGCTGTCGCCATTCTTCAGATCTGAATCCCACACGCATCAGCTGGGAGGTTTTTCTTTTCTTTTCTTTTTTCCCCCTACAGATCGCAAGCTCGCATCGAATTATCGATTTGGAAACGTTATCCCGATCCCTCCCCTCTGGTGTGCCATGTGTTGTTTTTCTCTGCCCTTTTTCGGAGTAGCAGAGCAGGGGGCCGAGGGGTAGGAGAGCCATGAGTGATCGGCGTGGCTGGCATGTGCGTCTCCTTTGGGATTAGCAGCAGGAAGAAGAAGAGGAAAAAGTCTGTGAGGCATCGGAAGCATTTCTGCCGTTTCTTGCTAGTACTAGTATACTACGAGCAAAGCTACAGTAATCCGGTGCCGTCAGAATCTAGAAACAGTAGTGCACCGTGGATGGGAGCATTCAGTCCTCGATGCGCTCCGATCCTCTTTAATTAGGCTGCAGCCATGTGATCCATTCGATTAATCTAATGGGCGATTCGATGTGCTGTTGCAATCTCCGTGCGCGTGAGTGTGTAGAGTGAGGAGAGACAATCTCTGACGATCACCAGGGGGTTATTAGAGCAAGTACTATAAACCTATAAACCTCTATATGTTGTCTCTAAATTTATCACATAAAATTAGATGATAATAGAGGAGGGAAGTTAAGGAAAAAAAATGAGTCTGTCCTTATATAAGGGGCAGTCTCTACAAAATAAAAGATGTGTAAGAGTGAACTAATATAAAAGTTTGTGTATTAGATTTAATATGTTATACTCCCTCCGTTCAAAAAATAAAACCAACATACCTGCTCCGTCCAAAAAAAATCTAATCCTGATCTATAATATGGACACAGTGTATGTCCAGATTCAAACTGGTTTTTTTAGGATGAAGAGAGTAGATGGGACTATGACGGACTATGGGCCTGTTCACTTTGATGCAATTTCCAACCTTACCAAATTTTGGTAAAGTTACAAAAAGTGGCTACATTTAGTTTGCTGTCAAATTTTGATAACTATATAAGAAATCCTGCTAAAATTTTGGCAAGTTACCAAAATTTTGGTAACTATGCCAAAATTTTGGCAATGCCAATTTGGTAAGTTTTTTTTGGCATCAAAGTGAACCGGCCCTATAACTCTATATATAAGACAACAAATCGGGACAATGGGAGGAGTACTTGTTACCTTTTAATTATTAAAAATTAGATGTTATCATTTAAATTAGAGGTGCCTCCACTCTAAAACTTGCTGTTACGAACTTCTACAGGATGAGGAGGGTTTTAAATGCGAAATCTGAAGATTAATTAGACGATATGGATCACATCCGGTGCAGGGTTATCTTTGATCTGTGGCTCATCAGTACTACTGCATCATGATTCCGATAATTGCATTCAGTGTAGTAGTATCAGTGGTGACGGAGCGCTAGTACTATCTGGAACAGTGAGCAGAGCGCCGTGTTCAACTTCAACCAGAGCACCCAGAATTTTACAGCAGCTACTGCTGCTCAAATATCGCCGCGGCAGGAGTCCCAGAAAAGGCACTCAAAGACTTGATAAGCGAATGAATTTATGAGCATTCAGAGGTGTGATTTACTGATTACTGCCCCAGATTTGCTACAGTCCCCATATTTTACGCCTACTGTACATGATGCTGCGATGCAAGTGACATCCTGCCAGCGCCAGGATTTACAGAAACCGTGTGGTTATCACGAACAATAATCTTCACAGTTTTTAAAACCATCATATGTCTCACGGTAACTATACGGTTTTTACGATACGTCAAACAGTGGAGTGACAGCAACCTCAACCAAAATGATTTGGTGAATCTAGCCAGCACATACCAATACGCCATAAGCTGGTAAAAACGCAAACGATCCAGTTACAGCACCCAAAAATTACCGAGCATGAAGTACAGTACGTGCAAATTCAATGGCCCATCCTCTGCTGTCCCCGAGACATCGTGCCGGTGATTGCTCGTGATGTGCAATGCAATGCCCACTGCCACTGCATCCAGCGCCAGTGTGGGTTTGTGTAGTGTGGTTTGCTGCTTCGCTTCAATAATAGTAGTAGTACTAAACCGTGGAGTGGTACGCTCTCGCAGCGCCTCCACGTGCCCGTGTCACGCTCGCGCCGCGCCCCGCCACGCTCCTCTCGCCTCGCCTCGGCGTCGCGCGCCGCGCGCCGTTTTTGCCACGCCAAGTCGCCACCCTTTGGTGTTCGTCCCGTTGCGTGCTCCGCGCTCCCGCCCATTTTTTTTTTCTCTCGTCCAGTCGGGGAGTGAGTGACAATGCCGTCGACGGCGAGGGCGTAGGGTGGTGTCCGGGGATGGGGTGCAGGAGCTCGCGGCTGGACGCGGCGGACGCGTCGCCGGTGGCCGCGCTCTGCCGGGAGCGGCGGGACCTGCTGCGCGCGGCGGCGGAGCGGCGCGCGGCGCTGGCGGCTGCGCACGCCGCCTACTTCCGCGCGCTCCCGCGCGTGGCGGACGCGCTCGCGCGGTTCGCGGAGCAGCACCACGCCGCCACGCCGCCGGGGTCGCCCGTGCTCACGCTGCCCCCGTCCGAGCCGGACGAGCACAAGAAGCGGAGCGCCTCCTCCTCCACCCTGCACACCGACTCCGGCCACTCCCACCTCCACTTCCACACCGACGGCGGCTCGGACTCCGAGCCCAACTCCGCCGACGACGACTGCGCCTGCGGCGCCGCCGCCGCCGCCGCCGGCCACGGCGTCCGAGGCGAGATCTCGCCGCCGGCGGAAGAGCTCCAAGAACGGCGAATCCCGGAGCCCGGAGCATCGTCCAGGCTGCAAATGCCGTGGGAGTACGCTCCCTACGACCCCTACCCTTCCTCCTTCCCGAACGTCACATTCCCCAATTACTACTACATGAAGGCGAGCTCGACGCCGGCGAACACGGTGTACCAAGAACCGTACGGCTACGGCAACTTCGCCGCCAATGTCTCCTACAACGGGTACGACTACGGGTACAGCAACCCAATGTACGGCATTCCGGTGCCCCCGGATGGGGAACGGCTGGCCGAGGATCGTGCCCGGGAGGCGGCGGCGGCGGCGGCACCGGCGCCGCCGCCGCCGATGCCAATGCCGGAGGTCTCGCCCTGGGACTTCTTCAACCCGTTTGACTCCTACGACTACAACCAGCAGCTTCCGCAGTACAAGGATGCCAATGGATCGTTCACGAGTAGCCCCAACTCGAGCGAGGTGAGGGAAAGGGAGGGGATACCGGAGCTGGAGGAGGAGACCGAGCAGGAGTCGATGAGGGAGTCGATCAAGGCGAGGAAGGCGGTGGAGAGCACCGCGTCCACCCGGATTGACAATGCCGATGCAGTGAATGCCAAGGCGAAGACGGCGTCGATGGAGCACAAGGAGTGCGAGATCGAGAGTGTGGGGAGTGCTTCGGTTCTTGATTCTGGAGAGGAGAGTGTGTGCAGCTGTGAATGTGATCATGCCGATGGCAATGCCGGAGCAGGAGCAGCAACTGCGGCGCCGGCTGGAGATGATCCAAGGATGGTGAAGAAGGTGGCCTCAGAGGAGCACTCGTCCATGGTAGTGGCTGAAGATGTGCTGCCGAAGAACTTCGGCACAAGGGATGTTGCAGATGTTGTGAATGAGATAAAGGAGCAGTTCAACTCTGTGGTCGCCTGTGGAGACGATGTTGCTAGGATCCTTGAGGTCGGAAGTATGCGGTACCGGCCTCGGAGAAGAATTGTGAGATGTGAGTATATGCTTTTCTTTTCATTTCATTTGATTGCTATGCACATATTGCACTGCAAGAAAATTCTGAATACTAGCAGCATCAGACTCCAATGCAAGATCAAGTCCACTTATAACTAATAAGTTAGCACTGACAAATAGTACTACATTAAAGAGATCTTGTGTAGCGTATGTGCTTTCTTCTGATTGTATTGATCTGTTGACACGATTTCTTGCCCACCTTCCTTTCACATTTTCTCCAGAGACAGTTCTTACTCAGTTAAACACTTTGTCACTTATACTTGATGCAGTGGTATTTTCGCGGTTGATGGGGGCCTTTGCCTTGTTGTTTTCTTCTGTATCTGAGCCCCCTGTGGAGAATTTGGAGCAGACAGCATTAAGTGCATCTGGAAGAAATCATAATTCGAGTCAAAGAATTGGTAGTGCCAGTGATATTGAGTTTAATACTCTTTCTTCAGTAATGGATAGGTTGTACGTGTGGGAGAAGAGGCTTCATAAGGAAATTATGGTATGGTACTTTAGTTATAAGAAATGTCTTGATAAATTCTTGTTACTCTCAAAACATACAAATCACAAGGCTGATAATGGTCTCCTATACTTTTATGTAATATTCTTCATCTGTCAAAATTGTTTTCTCAAAATGCACTGCTTATCTTGATATAATTAAAAGGGTCCTATTGTGGTGTTGAATTTATTTTGCTGCTGAATTACTCATTAAAAAAGAAATTGCTGCTGAATGATAGAGTGACACTTGCTCGTGACTTGCATTTTTCATGAGCATCGCATTGACAGTTTGTTTAAATTAATTGTCAGGAGGAAGAAAAATTGAGGATCACATATGACAAACAATGGAAGCGCCTGAAAGAGTTGGACGACAATGGTGCAGAACCATATAAAATTGATTCTACACGGGCCTCAATTAGTACACTGCTCACCAGAATCAACATTACAATTAGATCAGCCAAAGTTATTTCTAGGAGGATTCACATACTACGAGACGATGAGCTACATCCACATCTTGTTAAACTTATTCAAGGGTATGAAAAGTATATTTCTACACTTTTCTACTCAAGTGATTCTTCAAAGGGATCAACCATCAAATAGTCACTGTGTCATTACACCCGCCTACCCTTGTTTTCTTGCAGAGAATTTTTTTTAAGTACTTATTTTTTTTCTTTAGTTTATCTTGCATTCTTTATGTTGCAATATCACTACTGCATGCTGCAATGGTTTCATAGTCATTTGATCCATTGAAACATGTCCTGAAATTAGCTAGTCAATATAATGTATATCATATCATTAAACTTTTTTTAAGCAAAATAGCTATCACACTAATAAAATTAGTTAATGCTAGGATATCTTTAGTTTAGGAAGTCCAGTTGTCTTTTGGAAAGCACATTTGTCTTGCTAGCAAATGTAGCCTCTCATGTGTCTTTCTTTGTTGCTGTTTGTGTCTGAGCTTATATTCTTGGGAGATAGATATTGCCTTCATAACAATTTATTTCCTCTGCACGGCTTCCAATACTTGTCACAAAGCTGATTTATCTGTGAACAGACTGTAAACTGTTGTCGTTCTGATGTAGGCTTGTGAGAATGTGGAAATTCATTCTTGAATGCCATCGGAAGCAATTTCATGCCATACTCGAAACTAAATCTCATGTTCTTATCCCTAAGAATGGGCCAGAAAGGAACTCCAAGATTACACTCGAACTAGAAATGGAACTTTTGAACTGGTGTTCCTGTTTCAGCAATTGGATCCTGTCACAAAAGGCTTATATTGAAACTCTCAATGGCTGGTTAGTCAAATGGCTTCCTGAGGAAAAGGAGGAAACACCTGATGGGATCGCACCGTTTTCTCCTGGTAGGCTTGGAGCTCCAGCTGTGTTCATCACAGCTAATGATTGGTGTCAAAGCATGAAAAGGATACCAGAAGGTACTGTCATAGGTGCAATGGAGGCTTTCGCTGTTAATGTGCACATGTTACGGGAGCGGCAGGACGAAGAGCAGCAACAGAAGCTGAAAGCTGACTATTTATCTAGAGATTATGCAAAGAGGCTCAAATCTTTTCAAAAGGAACATGGCTTGGCTGGACATCATGAAGCTGATAAGACGGTGTTGCCTGTTGCCGAAAATAACAGAGCAGTTGATAGCCGCATTGTAGCTTTGGACGCATTGCATAAGAGATTGGATGAACAAAGATCTAGGCATGAGGAAGCCGTGAATCAAATCCAAGAGTCAAGTGCAACAGATCTGAAAGCAGGTCTAGGTCCAATATTTGAAGCATTGGAATCTTTTACCCAAGATACGCTGAAAGGTTATGAAAATGTAAGAATTCCAATCAATGGTTGTGGAGCTTGATAGTTAAATAGGTCTTCCCCTTTTGCTTCTGATAGCTTGTACTTTGGGCGGAACAAATGATCTCGGGAATCAATGGTAAGAATCAGCAATACCGCATCATTATACCAGTCAATACCATTGTATTTCTGAGTAATGTTCGCTTAATATGCAAGAACGAAAGGTTTTGCGTGGTTGTGGCATGAAGGATTATTTATCAATGCTTTGAGGTGATTCCGAGATAACGCTCAGGTAATATTTCCTGACCAGCTACAATTGATTATGCCAAATGATCTGCTGGGAGCCCTGTTATCAGGGAGGACAGCAGGGAATTTTGTAGCCATTTTCAGATCGTGTACATATTAGTTAAGTTAGTAATTTTGCAGAGTAGCATATTATTTATGTACCATGTAATCTGTACATTGTAAAAGGTGTATTTATGCCCTGTTATCACTATCAGTTAAAAAATGTAGCTTGGGTGTATATGCTCAGAACTTCTGTGATTTTGTCTGAACATACAAATCGTTTTTTCCAAGAAGCACATAAGTTACTTGGGGGAATACAATAGGCAATCTTTTTCCCTTTATTTTTTAGAGTAAATTTCATGTAACAAGGTATCATAATCCAACTTGCACAACACCACACGGGTTTTGACATGTGATATATAACTCTTGGATTATTGCGCTCTAGAATTTCACAAAACCATACTGTTAAGCAATTATATGATATGTTCTAAAATCATATCTCAAATATATGGATTCATCGATCTATTCTATAACAAGTTAACCACATTTTTTTTATTTTGCTAGTAAAGAAAGCCAAGTTGATTAATGGCGTGGTTTTATAAAACTATAGGATCATAATTGGGTTATGCGTCAGGTTTCAAAACCCATGTGATTTTGCATAACTTAAGTCATAATATCTAGTGGTTTTATGAAATTTAGTCTAACTTAATATCTAGTGTTTTTATGAAATTTAGTCTTAAAAAATACATAGCTCCTATGTTCTGTAGTTCATCATTCAACTTGTCGCCCACAGTTTCAAATTTGTCCATCATCAACAACGACAAAATCACAGCCTCCTTAGAATTTTAGATCCTAGCACACCTGAACACACTTAAGCTGCAATGCAATCAAACGTGCAAATCTCTACTAAAACAATCAACACAACTCGATTTCTTAGATGGAACACAATTCAGGCTGTGTTTAGATCTAAAGTTTGGATCTAAACTTCAGTAATTTTTCATCGCATCAATCTATCATACTCACACAATTTTTCTGTCATATCATCTCCAATTTAAAATTCAAACTTTGCGCTGAACTAAAACACAGACTCAGCTTTCAGCTCTGTCGGCTCCTCAGGTGATGAGTTATATGTAAGCTGACACTAGATCAGATCTGAAGTGAGAAACCATGTACAGTACTTTCTGTGGTCTCAGAAGAGGATGCCAATGTCCAAATGGCATCCAAAGTAAAGTTTCCAAATAGCACGTGAAGTTCATCGCTAATAGAAAAACCACAAATCAGAATCTGGATTCCAGTGGATCGTCAGAAGCTGCATCAGGCTCCAAGGAGTGACGCCAATCTCGAACAAACGCAAGCTGTTTTTTTCATACCTCACGTGCTTCCAATAACACATACTCCCTCCGTCCAAAAAAAGAAGATAAATTCTGGGTTTTCATGTCAAACTTTGACTGTCCGTCTTATATAAAATTTTTTTATAATTCGTATTTTCATTGTTGTTAGATGATAAAACATGATTAATATTTTATGCGTGACTTGTCTTTTTAATTTTTTTCATAATTTTTTTAAATAAGACGGACGGTCAAACATTGGGCACGGAAACCAGGGTTTGTCTTTTTTTTTAGACGGAGGGAGTACTATCATTTGTATAGATTCATATATAAGTGTGTCCAGTTGGTCACCAGTCCACCGTTGACGTGCTCCTGACAAAATCGAGGTAAAGTCATGAATTTCATATGGTTATTATGTAGAGATATTCATGCAAAAACAGTTTAATCAAGTTGAAGCGGTCAAGAATAATCTCACATTAGCATGACGTATGGTGCTTCTAAAATATTGCCCCTACCATACTGCATGACTTTGTAACCTTAACTAACTATGCAATTAAACTTTCTTTTGGGATACATTGGTAATAAGGGTGTGTTTAGTTGGGGAAAAGGAAATTTTTGGGTGCCACATCGAACGTTTGACCGGATGTCGGAAGAGGTTTTCGGACACGAATGAAAAAACTAATTTCAGAACTCGCCTGGAAACCGCGAGACGAATCTTTTGAGACTAATTAAGCCGTCATTAGCACATGTGGGGATACTGTAGCACTTATGGCTAATCACGGACTAATTAGGCTTAAAAGATTCATCTTGCGATTTCCCCCATAACTGTGTAATTAGTTTTTCTTTTTATCTATATTTAATGCTTCATGCATGTGTCCAAAGATTCGATGTGATATTTTTGGGAAAAAATTTTGGGGAACTAAACGGGCCTTAAGATGTATCAGGAGAATGATTAGGCTGTATTCGGGAGGCAAGGTTGCTTGTGACACGGAAAACGAAGCACGCAATTTAGTGAGATTAATTAAGTATTAGCCTAAAAAACTTGAAAAAGGATTAATATGATTTTTTAAAGCAACTTCCATATAAATTTTTTTTTACAAAAAATGTGTCGTTTAGCAGTTTGAAAAGCGTGCACGCGGAAAACGAGGGAAGTGAGTTGGGAAAAAGGGGAAAAAACACAACCTTAGTGTGCATTCTATAGCGGAAAATGTCGGAATTACACTTGAACTATTACGATAATACAATTTACCCCGCTTAAACTACAAAACCAGACATTTAATATCTCTAACTTTTCAAACCGGACGAATTACCCCCCCCCCCCCCCAATCAACACTCTTTGGGTGGTTTTGGACAAGATTGGCTAACATGGCAGTGGCATGCATCATGAGAAAAACAGTGGGCCCACCCGTCGGTACCCATGGAGAAAAAAATAGTGCTCCATTGAGCTCGTTGTTGGGGACCATATCACCCCGATCTCCTACTTGAGTCGCCACCCCATTAGATCAACGCCCGAAAACACCGGATTGAGGAGAGGCCACCATTGTCGAGGTTGTTCACACTCCACGCCCGCCGCCCCCATCAATTACATATTTCCCCTATAGCCACAAAGGAGCTTAGCGTTATGGCTTGATCCATGTCAAGCCGCTGCTAGATCTGCGCCACACGGAGCTTGTGGATCCATGCTAACCTCATCACCAAAGCTTTTTAATTTTTTGACGAGAAATGGTAGGAGAGGCTCATACTATGATAATAAATTAATTAGAGAGGAATTTTTTCTCATCGAAAAAGCTTGTCGCGTGAGCACAGAGAGGAAGCCCATGGGATGGCATGCGGCGACTAGGTGGTTCCCTCGGGCGGTGTGGTGGAGGTTGAGAAGCTAAACAAGGAGTGATGCAAATCTGGACGGTGACGGCTCCCTGGTAATGCCCACGATAGGATCCCCTGACGAAGAGCTCGGAAAAAACCGACCAACACTCTTCTTGTCTCGTCAGCTCAGTTCTAGCCTCGACAACCACGCCCGCGTCCTCAGCTCCTCCTAGTGCGAAGAAGACGACGATGGCGCCCAGGCGACAAGGCAGCAGCGTGGCCGCCGGCCTTCCCCGCCACCGCTGCCTTTGCCTCCACTTCCCTTAACGGGCGGAGTAGTGTCGCTCCCTCCCATGATGCCCGGTAATGCTGCTGCACACGCCCCCAATCCACGGATTAAGATCCTAAACAAATTATTGATGAAGATAGATATAATAGTGTTAACGGATACTTTTAAAAAAAAGTCAACCACATATAACCATTCGTAATACAAATTTTAAACAACATTAATAAAGTGCCCGCGTATAAGCGTGGATACCTTCATAGTTTATTTATAAGCCACAGTTCTAACTCGTCAAGCTTTAAAAGTTTGTCGCAATGTTTCCAAGTAATTTTTTTTATTAAAAAACATATAAGTGCACACCCTGCCCTAAACATACTCGACATAAGTGGCAAATTGTTGATGTCGCTTGATTTGAAAGTGAATAGGGAAATCATTTAAACCTTAGTAGGTAAAGTCATGCATCATAACTCCATACCACATCACCTGTTCTTATTTAATTTCCACCTGTTTTAGTGCCAGAAAAAACCATGGCACGTCACAACTTTAGCACCGCATTCTCACAAAAAGTGAGGAAGCAATCTAAATGACCCCTAATAGCAGATACAATAGCGGGCTATTAGCCAGCTATAAACATATTTTAACGAGATAAAAGATGAGATAAAAGAGCAGCGGCTACAGATTTATGGCCAGGTGCAGCACGAACTCCAAGACGCAATGTGTGTATGATATGTGAGACCATATATTAATAGTATAGTAAGCAATTATTGTATGAATTGGCTATTAGATTGGCTATAGGTAAATTAGAGCTAGTAATGGGGAGCAAGTTCAATAGTATAGCCAACTGTTGGCTCCAAATCATCTATAGCCAATCTAATATCCCATTCATACAATAGTTATCTATAAAAATATACTATATCATTAATACCCGGTCCTACCTCTCATACACTTATAACGTATTGAAGTCCGTGTTGCAGCCGGCTACAAATCTGTAGCCCGCTTTCTTCTCTCTCTTCTCTTTTCTTCTCGATATGTGGTTATAGCTGGCTTATAGCCTGCTATTGTACCTGCTCTAAGAATGCAACGGGAAAGAAGTGTCATTTTCATGTTCTCTATAGTGGATCTCATGGTGGAAAGAACTGAAAGCTAACCACTGTAGGCGAGTACTACCTCCGTTTTTTAATAGATGACGATGTTGACTTTTTCTCACATGTTTGACCATTCGTCTTATTCAAAAATTTTATGCAAATGTATAAGATATAAATCACACTTAAAGTACTATGAGTGATAAAACAACTCATAACAAAATAAATTATAATTACGTAAATTTTTTGAATAAGACGAATGGTCAAACACGTGAGAAAAAGTCAACGGTGTCATCTATTAAAAAACGGAGGAAGTATATGATATGCCGATATGGTATTGAAGTGCTGGAACAAAAGCAAATTTCTATCTCCACAAGCCACTGCTACAACCAAACTGAGGCCCTCTTTGTTTGGGCTTAGACTTATTGGCTTAGACTTTTAAGTCAGCTTATTGGCTTATATGATTTATAAGCCGGTGGATTTAATGTTCTAAGTTTAATGGTGGAGTTATGCATCTGTCTCACATAAGCCAAAAAAGCTTCTCTAACCTAGCTTTTGGCTTAATAGTGTTAGAGTGGCTTATGGCTTAAAAAAACCAAACGAAAAAGCTGCTTGTTTGTTTAGATTTAGATTTTTTAATTTATAAGTTGGCTTATAAGCCTAAACAAATATGGCCTGAATCCTCGTCCAGTCACACATAACAAAGGATCATCAGCGTCCCACTAATAGAAAGCAAAACCATAACGCTACTAGAAACACTCGGATCAAACAGAACCCCACACAGCAAAACATCCGATACACCAAAGATTCCACTAAAGAAAGTATAGTAGTCACACCAAAACTACCTATCCCTGTGGTGCGCGGTTATCCTCTAACCCACACATTGGTCTTACCAAAAGCAAGCTCGCGCGTCGCGTCACGCTCGCACGCTACACGCACACCCCACCTGTAAAAAAGAAGGGGACGATCCTCCTGCCTACCGTGCCCGCCCGCTCGCGCGGCCGCGCGGCTCCACCGACCGGCACCCCACCTACCGCGTACGCGAAAAACCTCCAAAATCACCGTGAGAACCCCGCGCGCGCCACCGTGATCTGTGTGACTGATCTCTCACGTTGCAGCCGCGGCCCCGCGCGGCTCCCCTCCCCCCACCGACCGGCATGGCGACACCCAGAAAAACCTCCAAAATCACCGCGAAAACACCGCGCGCCACCGTGATCTGACTGACTGATCTGATCTCTCACGTTCTAGCGGCGCACCGCGCACGCGGACCCGCACACGCGAGAGAGCGCGCGCGCGCACGGCGATTCGGTCGTCCTCCTCCGGTTTACTACTACTAGTACTTGCCACCTTCCCGACGACGTCGCCGTCGTCGTCGTCGGCGCGCGCGCGCCTCTCTCTCTCTCAAAGGAGTGGACTGCGTGCTAGTGCTAGTGCTACAGGCTACGGGTCGAGAAAGGCGAGGCCACCAGCAGAGAGCAAGCTGAGGGAGGAGACGGGGCGGCCTCTCCGCCTTGCAGATCTCGCATGCGCGGGCGGAGTGGACGGCGGCGGAGGAGGCGGCGGAGGAGGAGGGCGCAGTAGGGGAGGCGTACGGGCGGCGGCGGCGGCGGCATGGGCGGGGCGAGGCTGGGGAGATGGGTGGAGGGGATGTCGGCGGACAACGTCAAGGGCCTCCTGCTGGCGCTCTCCTCCAGCCTCTTCATCGGCGCCAGCTTCATCGTCAAGAAGAAGGGCCTCAAGAAGGCCGGCGCCTCCGGCGTCCGCGCAGGTGCGTGACGTGACTCTCACCCACCTCCACCTCCGCCTTCCGCTTAACCCCTTCTCAGCTCGCAACCCAAGCGAATCGCAGGGATGCCCACGCTCTCCTCTGCTGCTGCTGCTGCTGCTGCCGCGGTGCTAGCTCTGTAGCGTAGATCTGAGCCCCGCGAGATTTGGATCTTGATCGTGTTGTCGGTGGCCAAGTGGTGTTAGGGAGTTTGGTGCTGCACGCGCATTGGAGATCGGGCTGTCGGTTAAGCCTGTAGTTGTTTGGGTACTAAGAAATAGTTGTTCTTGTAGGACTAGCTCAGTTGATGATGATGTTCCAGCAAGATGATTAATAGAGTAATAGTACAATAGTAGCAATTGTTATAGTTCATGGCGCAGTGGTGATATCACGATGTGCAATATCCCCTCTTGTTTATAATGTGACTGCATTGCGATTCGTTATCTATGGTTTCTGCGTCAAAATTAGCAGTTTGAACAAGCTTACACAAACATGGAAGGCTGTAGAATATGAAAATCTTTGACGGTAGGAGGAGCCTATGATTGCAGAAATGGTTGCAAGCAGAAAAAAAAAACTACTATGTGATTGCTGTTGCTCTATTTGTTGCCTTTTTGTGCTTTAAACTTCCATGGATGATCAATCCGCGTTGTGTAATTGGTCTCCCATGATATGTTGGTTAGTCACGGAAGTACCATATAGGGAATTTTGCTACCCTCTGGCCAAATGGGTTTCAGCTTTTTCAGTAATTATGCTTATGTTGTTGACTTGCTACAGGTGTTGGTGGCTACTCTTACTTGCTTGAACCATTGTGGTGGGCAGGAATGACAGCAAGTAAGTGGTTTCTTCATGCATGAATATACTGGTTGACAAAGTTCTTCCATCTGTGGTGATAGTGCTAATTGATGTACTATGCTTTTTGTCAGTGATTGTTGGAGAAATCGCCAACTTCGCAGCTTATGCTTTTGCTCCTGCTATCTTGGTCACTCCACTTGGTGCACTTAGCATAATTATCAGGTAAGACTAGAATTGTATGACTGAAGTGGTATGGTAAAATCTTCTTCTGTGCATATTCCTGTAAATCTTCTTCTGTGTATATTCCTGTAAATCTGATAATATCGGCATCCCTTCTTACAGTGCTGTTCTTGCACACATTATTCTGAGAGAGAAGCTACACATATTTGGTATACTCGGGTGTATTCTTTGTGTTGTGGGTTCGACAAGTATTGTGCTTCATGCCCCTCCAGAGCGTCAAATTGAGTCTGTGGCAGAAGTATGGGATCTAGCTACTGAACCAGGTATAATCCTACCATGTACACAAGATAATAATATAACAAATATTAGAAAATAGTGACTCATTTAGACATTGGTTTTTCAAGTACTAATATTTAAACCTTTATGTTCCAGCATTTCTACTATATGCAGCCATTGTGCTTGCAGCAGCTTTTGTGCTCATATTCCATTTTGTCCCACAATATGGTCAGACCCATATCATGGTGTATATTGGTGTCTGTTCTCTCGTGGGATCCTTATCGGTATGCATGTCATTAATAATTCTTGATACGTTTTCACAATATCCTTCTTAGTCGGTTTACGGTGTAAATGAATTCATTCTGTAAACTTCTTTCTCTGGCAGGTCATGAGTGTCAAAGCTCTTGGGATAGCATTGAAGCTGACATTTTCAGGGATGAACCAGCTTGTTTATCCACAGATGTGGGTGTTCTTACTTTTTGTAGTTGCATGCATAGTAACACAGATGAACTATCTGAACAAGGTATGATCAATATCTATGTTGTAGGATAATTTTGGGCATGCCAAGAGAAAAAAATAAACGATGAATAGACTGATTTTGTTTTTCTATATGGAAGTCTTGTACATTTGTCTTCTACTCTATACGACTTTGAATTTGACTGTTTACTTTTGCAGGCCCTTGACACTTTCAACACTGCAGTGGTTTCGCCCATATATTATACGATGTTTACATCCTTGACCATTTTGGCCAGTGTGATAATGTTCAAGGTAACAGGTTTTGGGCTTAATTTATTTGTTGACATAATTTTAATACAAACACCATGTAGCTGCCTTCTTAAAAGGTGATGGCGACACTATAAACTATTGTACTGATTTTGTTTAATATGGCAATATGTCAATATACCAGAAGTATACTTAATTCTTTTTAATGAATTTGCTGCTTGAATGGAAATCAATCTTTTATACATTGTGTATCGATAGCGCAGTTTGGCATATCAAATTAACTCTTGACTTATCCTTCTGGACTATTTTCAAAAACATGTTGGGACCTTTGGCATTCAGTTTTTGACCATGGCCATTGAACTTTTTGTTCCATCTTCCTAGATGACTACCCATCATGTTTCCTTGCTGCATCAACTGCCGCCTTAATGTGATACTGTAGCTGTTTGATATTCAATTACACTTAAATATCCTGATTGATGTTCAAACTCCTCTTATATGGGGCCCATATATCTAAAAATGTTCTCTAATCTGAATAGGACATGTAGGCCTGTCAGTATACATGTAAACATAACATTAACATTGAAAGGCCTTTCATACTACAATGAATTTCTGAATCATGATAATGCTATAAATTCTATCGGCAAACTGTATCATCAGAATGGCGCATCATGGTTCAGTCAACCCCTTATTGTGTTCCATTGACAATGCTTCTGAACTATCTGTTGATGCAACCCTGATTGCATGCAGGACTGGGATCGTCAAGATCCAACACAAATTGTCACGGAGATGTGCGGTTTTGTTACAATCCTTTCTGGGACATTTCTTCTTCACAAGACAAAGGATATGGTGGATGGTATGACTGCCTTTCGTCCCATCTTGTGTTGACTTGAAATAGCACCCATTGGTAAATTCTTATTCATTGCCATCGCAGGTCTCCCACCAAATTTACCTATCCGACTACCTAAACACGCCGAGGAGGATGGTTATGCTGCTGAAGGAATTCCTCTCAGATCTGCTGCTGATGGCATTCCACTCAGGTCACCGAGGGCCACGGAATCGTTTCGTGCGACATTATAACCTGCTAATGCTTGCAACCGTGCTTCAAGGTTTATACTCCAGCAGCAACGCTAGCTCCTCAATGTGGGAAGGGAAGAATCTCCATTCTTTCATTGGATACACACTCCATAGGTTGACTGTAGGATCCAAAGGTAACGGCTCGGCCCCCCCTGTAATTTTTTCAGACATCCGTACAAAATTTTGGGGGTCATTACATCAGTTATTATACATATCTTCGGGTGAGATAACCAGGATGGCCAAGAATCCCAAGTTCTGAACTGTAAATCGCTGTGAGCCATAGAGGTCATTGGTCTGGAACTGTTGTATTCTTTCAAATACAATAGGCAAATAGCTCACTCATAATACAAGAAGAGGTTGAAAGAGCGCATGCTGTCTGTAGTCATTGTTGCCCCTTGCAATCCTCGATGTTTTGAGATATTGGTCGTCGGGTCGAGGCGTGGAGCCGATCAGCTCTCTGACCTTGCCTCTTTTTGAGATGGCTCAAATTGGAAGAACATCCCGTTCACAAGACAAGTCACTCAACCCCCGTATACATCAGAGGTTCATCTGATAAGAGATCACAAATAAAAGCACGCTTCGTTGGCCTTATCTTGAAGCCAATTAGTAATTTTCTTTGTTTGAACATTGCATTGCATGGGTAAAAACAGGCCATACCGTGACCGCGTGACGCAGCGGTGAAGCCGGGAATTTTTGGTTTGCCTAGAACTAAGGAAATCTTTGACATTTTCCAGCTGGATATAGCTAAGCCACGTTGAGAGCGTGAAGCCCATGAAAAGGCACGCCCACCTAGACAAGCTATGGAAGGTATTCGCGAGAAGGGATGAAAACGGTCGGAAAAACGTATGCCATTTTCATTTTCAGTTTTTTTCTCGAAAATGGGATCCGAAACAGTAATGATATCGGTAATATCGGAAACGGGTAGTCGGAACGGAATCCACCGATATTGGTCAGAAGTCAAAAGTTCATGTCAGAATGAGCGGAGTGTGGCATAGCACATATTTAACTATGCATGAAGAGGACTTTATAACTTCAGTCTTCCATCATTACACTCCACATAACACCGTTATATGATTATTAATGATATGATAATAAATTTGACGAATAATACAAACAAAGTTCAATAATATTTCAATATCAATAAGTTGAGGAGACCAAAGTTCAACAAAGTCCATATGGCACGTCTTAGGGTTAACAACGCTTTTCCCTAATCACTTCCCCTTTATAATGGGCTGCAAACCTACCTGGTTTCCTCCTCTCATGGGCTTCCGATGGGTTGGGCTGGCTGACCCGCTAGGGAATTTTCGGAATTTTTTCATAATTTTGATGGAGGTTATCGTACAAATACGGTTACCGGCAAAACGGTTGTATCCATCCCATTTTCGCTACCATTTCTAAAAGTTATTACCATTTCGATTTCCGACCGACGGTTACCGACACCGACTGAAACGATCAGTGCAAACTAGAAACAACATATGGAAATCTCAAAAATTAGAAATCTCGGAAATTTCCGTACCATTTTCACCCCTAATTGCAAGAGAGCGAGAAGCAGAAGATAGAAGTGGATTCAACGTGTCGGATGCAGCATGTCAATGGGGGAAAATCCTTTGTACCATGGGAAAGAAAAAATAAACTTTCCCTATGGAGGCTTCCATTATCAACACAGTATTTAAGAATTTACAAGTGGGCAGATTTTAAGTCTGAAGCAATGAAGCACAACTTACCAATTAGTTGCCAATCTGCAAAATGGATGGGGGTGATTTAAAATTGTCACGCATGACGTGTGACCGAGGTGTTTAGCCCAATTGAGTAGTACAATTATATGATGAAATAGATTAATTCTTTTTTTTTTGGGAAAACCAGGAAGCTTTATTAACTCACAGAATTAGGGTTACAATCCATAGCCAGGAGTTCAGAGACGCACTCACCATGAAATAGATTAATTCTGCTTTCAGTGGGCACGGTAAAATCATTATTTGGGTTGTTTAGTAGTGCATTATCGTAGAATACAGCCGTGGATAATGTAAGAAAACATCAGAAAGTTGACACTTGACAGTGAGCTCCGACAAAGGTTAATAAAGGACCACCTTCAACGGGGCTGGGTTAACAAGTGGGACGGTAACTATTCATTATCATGGTTATCAGTCTTATTCGACCAGTACGAATCAAGAAACCGCTCGGTAAATGGTCAAATTTTTAAAATGAAAACTATAATTCAAGTTTTAACAAATTTCAAGAATTCCGCCCGGTTTCGTTGGTAACCGAGTGTGGATCCTACTCTTTAAATAGAAATACTCACATTAATAGCAAACCGCAGTCGCTATTATCGACGAAACTCGGAAGAGGGTATTCGGTGATCAAACAGTTTTGAAATTCTGGAGTATGCTAATCGGTTCAATCTCGTGTGTTTTGTTTTAAGATTTTAATTTTGACCAGCTCAACTCTTTGTATAGAACAGTTGTGAATTTCAGAGCAGCCATATAAATGTGAAAATCTTCCAAACGAGAAAAGGAAATAGTAGCACTACCTAGAAAGCACTCTATATTGAACATGTATCATAGGAATGCTTGAATCCAGATGCAAACAAGTCGAGTTTGGATTGAAGAACAGTTTTGCAGGTACACTATAATAACCAATCTGAGACAATTGAAACTAAAGCCGGGAGGCAGCATCAATCAAATGAGTGACATATGCTATACAATTACAGTTTGACAGACACCACTAGTAATAGATTCCAAGCCAAGATGACATCAAGAAATTAACTTTCATGTCACATCTGTAGACCTTACGAGAGAAAAACAAAACAACCAAACAAACTCGATCATCCGACCCAAATTTCAAAGATTTCAATCACCTGAAACCTATATGCACACACACAAAACATCAACAAATTAAGCGAAAAGGCCACGTGAACACCATGACGAGCGAGACAGCTTAAGCCATACTAGCAGCACACGGGGTCGTTCTTGCGGTCCTCCTCCAGCGGCGGCGCCGGCCCGCCGCCGCACAGGCCGGCGCGGAACGCCAGGAAGCCGGCGGCGTGCCCCGCCACGATCGCGAGGAACACCCCGCCGTTGAACGACATGAGCGCGAGCATGATGAGGTATGCGACGCCGACGCGCACGGCGTGGACGGCCGTGCGCAGCGCCGCGGCCGCCCGCGGCGCGCGCCGCCGGGCGAGGCGCGCCTCCAGCACGCGGTAGCCGCGGAACTCGAGGAGCACGGCCAGCGCGAACATGAAGAGGATCGCGAGCGCGTACATGCCGCCCCTGGCGCCCGGCCACAGGGTGAAGAGCACCTCCGTGTTCTTGCCCCAGAAGAAGGTCATGTGCATGTACCGCGCCTTCTTCACCGGCGCCGGCGGCGGCGGCATCGCCATGCCATTGCCGCCCATGTCCATGGCTTCTACTAGCTCGCTGTCGCAGCTAGCTGATGATAGTTTATGTCGATGTTGCTCTCTATGGGTTAGCTCTTGGCGTTCGGGGGAGTACGACGTACATGTATATACGCGACCGTCGCGTGTAGTACGTACGACGCTATGGCGGAGATGGGCAGTACACCGTACGACGCGGGCAGGTGCGGCTGCGCATCGGGCGATTGGTGCCGCGCGCTGGGCCGGCGAGGTTTCGGCCCTCAAGAGCACCGGCCCGATGGCCCACAGCCTGATAACCACGGATTATGTCCAGAGAATTTTTTTCATTTTTATTTTTTTAAAATATTTACAGAAATAATCTATCGTCGGAAAAAATTACAAAAATAGACCCTGCCGCCGCGGCAAGCTGACTTGGCCGCCCTATACAAAAAGATGAGTTTTTTTTTTGCACCTAACACCCTTGCCGCCCACTGCCTGGGCGGCTAGGGGCCTCCATGCAAAAAAGCCAGCCCGGGGCCTGCCATTTTGCAGGCGGCCCCTTGCCGCCCTCTGCTAGGGTGGCAGGCCTCCTAGCCTATAAAAGGCTTGCCGCCCTGCACACCCTCCTCAGTTCTCCTCACCTCTACTCTGAGAAAAAAAAAGAGAGGGGGAGGAGAAGAGAAGAAAAGGCGAAGCCCTGCCGATTTGAGACTCTGATTTCAGGTAATATTCATAGATCATATATGTGATTATTTAATTAACTAGTGTGTATTTTTTAAAACTTTGTTTGAATAAATGTATTATATTATCTAGGGTTTTAGTTGTACTACTGTAGAACTGCGTATTGTTAGATATACGTAACTACGTAGATCTGTAGTCTTTGTAGTTTTAAATGTTGTTGAGTACCATTACATTAGCATACATAACAAGATATTACATTTTGGGCATTTATTACATGAAAGAATGATCTAGTTATTTCGTTGACAGAAATGTCCAACAAACATATATTTCAACTATACCATGGCCCAGGAAACGTCCGTTACGGGCCGATTAGGATAGATCTGTTAGAATTTATTGTAACACCAAGGAGATTGCAGTACTTGTAGACGAGCACCTGACGACGTGCACGCGAATACTGGACTCGGTGTGCTCGGTTCTCCGAGCGTCCACCTGTCGTCCTGTCGACGTTGCTCAGGCAGACGCAGCACCACAGCGGCCACCCCGACCGACTGGTCCTCGTCCAGCTGCACACGTTCCTAGGCTAACTCCCCCTCCCCACGGAGGTAAGTATATTTAAGGTTTATTTTTACATGCCCCACACATATATGTGAACCGATTAATCCGATTGCTTCAGGGTTTCGTGCACCGTTCACCACCCCGCCTTCCACGAGTATGCCTCCTATTGTGCCCCCACAGGTACTAAAAAAACAACACTATATCGACAATCAATTTACATGCAATTTATGTGTTAGCTTACAAGGGTCTTGTTGTCGATGTATAGGTTTCGCCCAGTTCGGTACGACACAGGCCGCCCACTTCTCCCAGGCTGCAAGGTCAGCGTCTCAGGCAACTGTGTCGGCCTCGCACTCTGCGCAATTCTAGTAGGATGCCGGGACTTCATCACAGGCAGCCGGCACGTCGAGTCAGGGTCCACCACTGGACCATGCCGGGACATCGTCGGAGTACGGGTGGGCTTCCACCTTGCACTTCGACATCAGCGACTTCGACTTCCAGCACTCGATAGAGGACGTCATCGGACCAGTCGGTGTAGACGCAGGACCAGTTGCCCTCCACTCCGCCGCCAAATACTCGTGCTACCCGTGTTGTGCCACTGGATCGCTTCACGTACTCCCAGGACCACGTGTGAGCACAGGCCCGGAGGACCAAGCGTGGTCGCGGCGCGGGGCAGGGCCAGTAGAGCAGACTTCTCTTTGTTTATTTACTTTACATGCTAGTACTGTATGCTTGTAGAATGAATACGTTGTTGCTATTCGGGTTTTGCATCCCTAAACTTCGCTGTTACTTTTTACGAAAGCATGATACCTTTCGGTGCATGCATGAGTACTTTCTGCCACACCGATGCAGCCTCCTTTATTCGCGTGCGATACGACTGCGGAATGGCTGACCCACCATGGCCCGCATACGTCCAATCTTACTTTCGGCGCCAATCAGGCTGACCCACCATGGCCTGCGATGTAGACATGTCAAGGTTATCACTGTGATTTTATAAGTTGCCATAACGAGCGATGCCTCACAATCTTTCATAACTCGGTCAGATTCAATACTCTCTTTCTCACTGGTTTCATTACAAAACCCACCAGCTTTTGGCAATGGCTAGATGCTGGGGCGTTGAGGATCCGAATTGGCATAGCGATCCTTGTGCATACCTGCTACCACCTTGGTGCCAACGGCCTCTTTGCCTTTGCGGTGACCGATGGCAACTAATGGCTTCGATGAATCCTGACATTCGAGGAAGACACTTTTTTAGGTGCCCTAACTATGACCGTAAGGTATTTTATTATCTGCATATGCTTATTCATTTTATATGGGCAATTGTTTTATTCTTTATCATACTACTCTATTCGTCAGACCCACGCTACGGCTTACGGATACATCGAGTGGGTCGATACAGAAAATCCCGTTCTCGACCTAACCACTTGTTTACAATAAGGACGTTGGTATTTCGCATCCGAAAGTACTGAGCAATACTTGGAGAGAAAAGCGGCTTACGAACGACAACGTCGTGAACAACAGTGCGACTGGCGGGTGCTAACTACGGCACTCCCTCCATGGGAAGCCCGTCCAAGATGTAGATGCGATGATCATTGTCAGGTTCTTCGTTCCATGAAGCCTACGACTTTGGGTCGAAGGTTTTTTTGTTTGTCCAAATATTCTAGACGACGATTTCATAGTAAGAATATTTTGATTATCATGAATCCTTATTTTCTCCCAACATTTACTAACTTTGTTCGCTTCACATCTATTCGTTTTTCACAGGAACCACCAAGGAGATGTCAATACAGAGAATGGATAGACACCAGAAGGGTTCTAACTCCACCTAGCCGTGTGGTGCAGCTTGAACTATCAGAGGAATACAGGGTTACTAAAGCGCAGTTTGAGAGAGGAGAGGGATCCTCATGTAGGGGTTAGCTATTATCGGACAACTTACCTTATTGAAATTTGTAATGTCATGCTTCCTTGTCCTATTACTACATCATCGTTGTGTTCAACTCTTGCACTACCTCCCTCCTAGTTTGAATCTAATCTTATATATGTAACTGCAATGGAACCAGATGTATCATGTTCAAATTCTACTACTATTTCTATACATGACATAATTCTCCTTGTTTAATTGTATATAATGTTTCTACGACCGAAACTATGATAGGCCTATATCAATTTCATACACTAATACGTCGAATAAGTTACACCATAAACTCTTACTTAAAATATGAAATTGCAAAACAACCGACCTCAATACATTTTTTAAAACATTATTAACAAGTTTTACCAATAAATAATTCTTTAACTGTTATCAATAGAGCTGAAAAAAAAAGCATTTGGCTTGTTTTTTTGCATCTAGACCCAGATGCAAAAAAAACCCAGCCAAATGCTTTTTTCGTCGGGCGCAAATTGCATTGCGGGGGACGGCAAGGACCTAAGCGCAAAATACGCACACGGCGTCGTCGAGCCGCCGTCTCTTTTGTAGTCGTCAAACTTCGTGATTATCTTGACTGCATGCCTAACTGAGCTTGTCATTGTAGCAACCCTGGTGGCTCCATCTTCATCTTCATCAACACCATGGTTTACTTCTCTCACTAGGGCCTCCAAGGCGCCCCTGTCGAGCGCGATATCAACCACCGAATCGCAATCCTCTTCGTCAGCTTCAAGGGGGGCACCCACGTCTTGCTCCTGGTAGTTCTAGGCCGTGAACGTTCGTCCCACGAAACCCTCCTCTTCCCTAACTCAATTGGCTACAGATAAAAAGTGGGAGAGATGAGGTTACACATGGATTTCAGGTAAACGGATTTGTCTGGACTATGCCACTTTAAAACAAAAAACCCTTCTAGAAAGGAGAAAAATATTGAAAGAGAGGAGCAAAATGTTGAAATGGGTAAATCGTCACTAACCAATCGTTGGACTGTTTGTGCGCTGTTGTGGTTCCTTCGTTCCTGGTTGGCGAAGAGCACGCCAGCTATAGATGGCCATATGGCCCGAGGCCCGTGGACCAGGCCAAGACACGCCGTTTTGGCCAGGCCCAAGCACGGCCCGACTGGGGTCGTGCCCGTGCCGGCCTGGCCCGACAGTCGGGCCATGCCTGGGCTGCACCTTCGGCACGGTGGGCTGGCCCGGCACGGCACGATTGAAGAAAAAAAGTATAGGGATGAAAAATAGACTTAAATAACCATATAAGGTAAGGCCCAAAGAGAAGAGAAATACAAAATAGACTTATTTCCAGCCATATGAACACAGCCCACAGAGTTGAGGGATGAAAAATATACTTATTCTGTGGACAAACACAAAGTACAGGGATGAAAAATAGACTTAAATAACCATATAAGATAAGGCCCAATGAGAAGAGAAATACAAAATAGACTTATTTCTAGCCATATGAACTCAGCCCACAGAGTTGAGGGATGAAAAATATACTTATTCTATGGACAAGCACAATGGACTGTTGTACCTTCGGGCCAGCCCGGCACGGCCCGAGTCGTATTGGGTCGTGCCTGGGCCATGTGTGCAGCACATGGGCTGGCACGGCACGGCCCAGCGTGTCGGTCGGGCTGTGCTAGCCCGACTAGCCTCGGCCCAGGCACGGCGGGGCCTGGGCCGTGCTGTGCCGGGCGGCCCATTTGGCCAACTATAACGCCAGCATTCCTAACGGATGGGAAGAGTATATACAACGAGAGGATGCCCCACGTGTTGCTGTGGGACTTGGTTAACATCAATTTGTTAGATAAGAAGTATAATATCAAGAAGAAACAAATAGCTTTCTTGGAGAAATTCTTTTTAGCAGCCCTATCAAAAATTTGTAGATAATTTAGGTAACACATGTCAACTGAAAGAGCGTTCAGCATAAAGCTCTTTTATACGGAGTGACGGGCTGGATACATGTATATGTGTGTGGACATAGGCCAATGTGTTCATGTGGGCTATATTTGGCACTGAGGAGGCGAAGAGACTCACCCGGTGACTAATGGGTTGGGCTCTATGCTGCATTCCATCCAACGTCTGAGAAGCAATCTAATATATTCATCCAACGGTTCACTATTTGATGATGACGTGGAAGCACGAGGTTTGAGCTTTTGGCCTTAACTTTATAGAAAGAAGGGATATGCATAGTCTAGGATGGGAAGATGCACTACGGAGGGCGATGTGATAGGGAAAGAGGCGTCAGTGAGGAGAAGAGGAGGGAGAAGTATGCCCCCGTGAACGCCAGTGCGATTGTACGAGGTAGGATCCGCGTATAAAGTCGTATTTGTCATGGTTATGGATACCACGTACCCAATAGTAATCGGCTAAGCTCAGCGGGGCCCACCATATACCAAATCTTATACGGAATCGTACCTCATATATAGAAGGAGTTCCGGATAAGGAAGTACGAGTAGAGTTCTATATGAAAACGACAAGGACTACTCGGATTGTATCTATATTGGTCTTCTTAATACTACTTGTACAAGGGAACATCTATAGGTATAAATACAAGACCCATAGGGGGAGAGAGGGAACACACACACAAGTCAGAATAGACACCAACACACGCCACCAGACATTGATATCAGTGATAAGCCTAAACAGACTCAATCTGGTGCCTGCGGAGGCCAACAAGAGAGATCTAGCGCCATCTCTAATCTCGACGAGTTCGTACTCGAGGAGTAAAACTACCCTGTCGTTGACTATGTGTTGGTGATCCATGCCGCCAAGTCAACGACATCTAGATAGGTTATCTCAAATATTGTACTTAGTGTGATTCAGATGAATAAAGAAAAACACAGACTACGGCCAATAGGAGTAGGGTCGTTACCTTCCTGTGAAGGGGCCCAAACCTGTATAAAAATCATTGTCTCTATCTTTTTTATCTCAATCTCGCATATACCCTGGTATCAATGATCTTCATGCCATGTAAATACTATAGTCGTGACCTCAAGCATGAAAGTATTTCCATGGTCCGCTAACAAATGGGCAAAATACGGGCAAGTTGGGAAATACCGGGAAGTGGTCGGGTGTACGCACGAATCACTTATCGTGTGGTGTGCAGCTGTCTACCCCAGTAGATAAAAAACTTTTCCCATCAAACATCCATCTCATGGACCAAAAATGAAACAACCTAATATCAAATGAGGTATATCTCGTTACTACTAATATTGATAGATAAGTTCGGTTCAGGTTTCTATTACAAAAATATATCCCATTTGATACTATATTGCTATATATTAAGATAGAGTTACTATTATTAGTCTATCCGTCCCAAAATATAACAACTTTTAACTATAAGGATTTGTCTCGAAATATAACAATTTCTCCACCAATATTCTCTTCCCAACTAATCACAACCCTCCACCATTTACTTTTCTCACCTACTTCCACTACCCATCCAATCACAACCATCCATTATTCACTTCTAGCTGTTTTCTTAATAACCGTGTTTAAGTCTAAAACTCTTTATATTCTGGGACGGATGAAGTAACTACTAGTATTCATCACTTAAAGCTAAAATCTCTCTAGAATAAAAAATAGAGTATATTTGTCGATAAAATAAAGCGATGCTTGTCTTCTGCGTAATGACGCCATCAGCATGGCTCTACAGCTCATAAGCCATGAATTTTTTTTTGAAAGCAACGGAAAATAATTATTCCTGCGCAAACAACATACTCCTGATCAGCTGTAACATGTGACACGACTCCTGCGCATTTTGTTCTCTGTGTACCACTGATTGTAGCCGGTACTGCCCCGACAAAACTATTGGAAGTCAACAACCCGATCTCAAGTGACATGGACGACTATCTACTTGTCAATCCTCTGTGCAAAAACTCCAAAGGACAAAGAGATAAGCTAAGGAAAATATATGTACTCGACGGCAATGGCTTGCCACCTGCTGCCATCACCTCTGAGCTCCAGAAAAATCGAAGAAACGAACCTGCACTCAGCGTCATGAGTGACGACAGTCGACAGCCATGGCTCCAGCCCTCCGGTATGGGTTTGTTGATTGGGTGTAAAATTTGAGCGTGTCACCTTAATTATTATACGAGGGTGTCATATAGAGGTATTTATGTACTAAAAAAACTAATTATAATATCCATCAGTAAATCACGAGATGAATTTATTAAGCCTAATTAATTCATTATTAGCAAATGTTTTACTTTAGCACCACGTTGTCAAATTAGATTTAAAAGATTCGTCTCGCAGAGTAGTCGCAATCTAAATAATTAGTTATTCTTTTAGACTATACTCCCTCCATCCCAAAAAAGGCAAACCGTGTGTTCCCGTGCCAACGTTTGACTGTCTGTCTTATATGAAATTTTTTTATAATTAGTATTTTCATTGTTGTTAGATGATAAAACATGATTAATACTTTATACATGACTTATCTTTTTAATTTTTTTCATAATTTTATCAAATAAGACGGACGGTCAAACGTTGGATACGGAAATCAGGGTTTGTCTTTTAATACACCATGCATATGTCTAAATATTCGATGTGATAGGGTGTAAAGTTTTGGGGTGGGATTTAAACAATCCCTATAAAGTCTGCCCCAAATCATTCTTTAATCCTTCTGAAGCTAAAATGAAAAAAACTCAGGTCACAGACCTTAAAAGGTGATGCTGACACTAAATTTGTTTACAGGTCTTGCTTAACACGATAATATAGCAGAAGTATACTTTATTTCTTAAGTCAGCTACGCTTTACTGGCTGCTTCTTTTGTTTTCTCTTTCAGAACCATGAAACCTTTTAATCGTTCGAGGAGACGTTTCTTTCGTATCATCTACATAATTATAAAAACATAAAAAATCTAAATTAATATGTGGTACATTACTACGTAAATATACAAGTTTAAGTTTAACTTTACAAGTTAAAAAAATAATTGTGAGTTTAATATGTTTTTTTTAGAACTTGTGAAGATCAAATTTAAACTTGCATGTTAAAATAATATATCACACATTAATTTATATTGTTAATTTTTTAAAGCAATTATAACTGTTTGGAAGACATACAAGAATAAGAAGACATCTCCTCGTGATATTAGAATTCATTTCCATCATACGTGTTCCTTGCAACTCAAGTGGTGGATTCTGTCGAAAGGCAATAAAATTTGTTAATATAAAATTAAAACGGTAGTTAATTATCCTCAAATCTAATATTTATACACATAATTATACGAGACCAATTGAACACTTAACTCCAACTCTTCTCATTATTGAAATAGATTGTTCGTTCCATGAATATTTTGAATATTTTCTTCCATTGCATTCATTAGACTATTTATTTTAAACTATTTGTAATATTTATTTTTTAAAAATATTTAATTTACTCTATAATCAAGTAGATAATTTTTTTAAGTACTCCCTCTATTTTATATTATAAGTGGCTTGACTTTTTTTCTAGTTAAGTTTGATCTAATTTATAGAAAAATTTAGCAATATCTAAAATATTAAATTATTTTCATTAAATTTAATGTTGAGTATATTTTGATAATATGTTTGTTTTATGTTAAAAATAGTAAAATACTAGTACTATATTACTCACTCCTTCCAAAAGTCTAAGTTATATTTCTTTTTACCAAAACTAAGGTGTAGTTAATTCATTCATGTGATAAAACTAGTGAACATGCAACCAATAAGTGCTAAAATGATTTCTTAGGTTCTGATAAAAAAATTAATATGGCACATAGTGACTACAAATAGAACTTAGACTTTTGAAAAGACCAAACAATGGAATAGGACATAAACTTTTGGAAGGAGGGAATATTATGTAAGCTTGATCAAACTTAAAAACAGATTGACTAGGAAAAAAGAAAAATAACTTATAATATAAAATAGAAGGAGTAGCAATAATATACTTAATATCTAAATCAAATGAGACGCGGTCTTACGGATGCGTAAAGATACACAACATTTTATTTACAAAATCTTATGAATAACTCAAATACAACTGCATATTATACGACCACAAAAATTATGAGGCATAGGCGCATAGCCGCCTACAGAACAGATGGAGAGCCAACTGGTCGATCTCCAGTGAGTCAGTGACCTAATGACGACTACATACGGAGTCGACTACATACGGAGTACATGTCAAATCCTCTGCGCAAAATCTCCAAAAGCCAAATAAATACGGAGGAGTACTCCATAAGATAAGGCAAACACCTACTACTAGTACTAAGAAAATGACGGCAATGACAAAACTTTTGGATTTTAGTTGGAGGTGACATCCTAATACTAATAATGTGATATATTCAGGTTCGTAGTTTTAAAATGTATCACATCTCGTAAAAATCCTTTATATATTTTGGGCACGAGGAGTGGGCACTTAGAGCCATGTTTAGTTCGCAAACGAAAATTTTTGACGTGTCACATCAGATATACGGACACACATTTAAAGTGTTAAACATAAACTAATAACAAAACAAACAGATTCCGCCAGAAAACTACGTGACGAATTTATTAATCCTATTTAATCCATCGTTAGCAAATGTTTACTATGTCACCATATTATCAAATCATAACGCAATTAGGATTAAAAGATTCGTCTTGCAATTACACGCAATCTGTGTAATTAATTTTTTTTCTATATTTAACACTGTACATATGTACAAACATTTAATATGACATAGTGAAAAAGTTATATTTGTGAAATAAACAGGGCCCTACTGTCATCACGTCGATGTTGAGTTTAAGTTCGGAAAAAATCAAAGAAACGAGTGCGCGCTCTGCAAGATCTGCAGCGACAGCCATGGAGATCGAGCTCTCACCCGTGCTCCTCCTCCTCCCCTTCCTCCTCCTCGGCTTCCTCTACCTCACCGGCGGCGTGCTCCGCTCCGGCGGGAACGCGCGGCGGCGTCTCGCTCCGGCTCCTCGGGGACTGCCCGTCATCGGCAACCTGCACCAGGTGGGCGCGCTGCCTCACCGCGCCCTGCGCGCGCTCGCCGCGGCCACCGGCGCGCCTCACCTGCTGCGCCTCCGCCTCGGCCATGTCACCGCGCTCGTGGCCTCGTCGCCGGCCGCCGCCGCCGCGGTCATGCGCGAGCACGACCACGTGTTCGCGACGCGGCCCTACTTCCGCACGGCGGAGATCCTCACCTACGGGTTCAAGGACCTCGTCTTCGCGCCCTACGGCGAGCACTGGCGCCACGCCCGCCGCCTCTGCTCCGAGCACGTCCTCAGCGCCGCCCGCTCCCACCGCTACGGCCCCATGAGGGAGCAGGAGGTCGCGCTCCTCGTCAACGCCATCAGGACCGAGGCGGCCGCGGCGGCGGTGGACGTGAGCAAGGCGCTGTACGCGTTCACCAACGCCGTGATCTGCCGGGCGGTGTCCGGGAGGCTCTCCCGGGAGGACGAAGGGAGGAGCGAGCTGTTCCGGGAGCTCATCGAGGAGAACGCGACGCTGCTCGGCGGGTTCTGCGTCGGCGACTACTTCCCGGCGCTGGCGTGGGCCGACGCGTTCCTCTCCGGGTTCGCCGCGAGGGCGTGCAGGAACCTCCGGCGGTGGGACGAGCTGCTCGAGGAGGTGATCGCGGAGCACGAGGCGAGGCTACGCGGCGGAGACGATGGCGGCGGCGAAGAGCACAGGGAGGAGGACTTCGTCGACGTGCTGCTCGCGCTGCAGGAGGAGAGCCAACGCCATGATGGGAGCTTCAAGCTCACGAGGGACATCATCAAGTCGCTCTTGCAGGACATGTTCGCGGCGGGGACGGACACGTCGTTCATCACGCTGGAGTGGGCCATGTCGGAGCTCGTCAAGAACCCGGCGGCGATGCGGAAGCTGCAGGACGAGGTGCGCCGCGGCGGCGGCGCGACCACCGCCGCCACGCCCTACCTCAAGGCCGTGGTGAAGGAGACGCTCCGGCTCCACCCGCCGGTGCCACTGCTCGTCCCGCGCGAGTGCGCGCGGGACACCGACGACGACGCCACCGTGCTGGGGTACCACGTCGCCGGGGGCACCCGCGTGTTCGTCAACGCGTGGGCCATCCACCGCGACGCGGGCGCCTGGAGCTCGCCGGAGGAGTTCCGCCCGGAGAGGTTCTTGCCGGGGGGCGGCGAGGCGGAGGCGATGGACCTGAGGGGCGGCCACTTCCAGCTCGTCCCGTTCGGCGCCGGGCGGCGCGTGTGCCCCGGGATGCAGTTCGCGCTCGCCACCGTCGAGCTCGCGCTGGCCAGCCTGGTCCGCCTCTTCGACTGGGAGATCCCGCCGCCCGGGGAGCTCGACATGTCCGACGACCCGGGATTCACCGTGCGGCGGCGGATCCCTCTCCGGCTCGTCGCCAAGCCGGTCGGGTCAGAAGACGACAAGTAGCCGAATAGTGTGATCTGTGTGTTTTTTTTTTTTTTGTCTGGGAGACGGGAGACCGCGTGGACTGTGTTAATTTAGGAATAAATAAATAATGGGCCGAATCGCGCGTGTTAATCGCTGGGAGCTTTTTGTCCAGCCCATCTTGGTTCTAGTTTGCAAGTTCATGTGTGTGCAGTAATTTTGGCAGGAATAAGTTCATCAGAGTTCCCTTTAACTTTTCAACGAATCCGATTTTCGTCCCTCAACCAAAAATCCAGACGCAACGAGTCCCTCAACTATTAAAACTGGTGCAGATTAGGTCCCTCAGCGGTTTTGAGGGCGATTTTAGCTGACGTGGCGCCTACGTGGCTAATTTGACTCGGTCTTCATTTTAACGTGGCATTGACGTGGCGCTTACGTGACAATTCGATCTAAAAGAATAAACCCCGTAGGACCCACATGTCAGTTTCGCACGCATTAATAAAAAAAATAGTAGGGGCCCACGTAGACCCCACATGTCATTCTCACCCATCTCCCTCTCTTCATCTCTCTCCCCCTCTCCTCTCCCCATCTTCCCTCGCTTCATCTCCCGCCGTGCCGGGGTGCGACGGCGACGTCGGCGGCACAGCGCCGGCAGAGGCGTGGTGGCCCGAGGCCGGCGTGCCCTCACCATCGTGGCCCCTGCCCCCGTTTCCACCGTCCTCCGGGCGGCCCTTCGACCTCGACGGTATCCTCTCCCGCCAGTGCCGCCATGCGCCGCTCCCTCTCCGTCGCGTCTGAGAGAGAGGAGAGGGGAGAGAATGCAGTCCGGTGGCCGGCGGCCATCGACAGGTGACGCGGCGATGCGGGAGAAGGGGCGACGCGGCAGCGCGGGCGACATGGGAGAAGGGGCTACATAGCGGCGGTGGACTCGGTGGACTCGGTGCCCCGGCCTGCTCCCGCGCCGCCGCCTCCCTCTCCCCGTGTGCTCGCGTCGGCCTCCCCACCTCCTCCCTCTTCGCGTGCGCTCGCTGCCGGCCTCCTCGCCTCTCGCTGCCCAGCTGCATGCCACTCGCTCATCGGAAGCAAATCATCTTCTTGTTGCATATAAGTTGGCTCATCATCAGCAGTAGTACAGTACTACTAGGCAGTTGTACACGTACAAGTAGAAGTAGCTAGCTAGCCTTGGGAGAGATGGAGATTCCGGTGATTGATCTCAAGGGGCTCGCCACTACGACGAGCATCTCGAGAACAAGTTCTACGCCTCCGACCTCGCCAAGAACCTCCAGCTGAACAAGGACGACGACTACGACGCCCTCGCCGATCAGGTCGACTGGGACTTGATGAGCACCCGGCGGTGAATGCCCTGATTTTCCCTCTCTTTCACGGTACCAACAACTGAATAACCCAACCAGATTATTTTTCCAACTTAAACAAATGAGCAGACCAAAGCAGTAAGAACGATATTAACCGGCAGTATGTATATGAGCGTCGCAGTGAATTGATTTTGTCTCTCAAAACAAACAGCAATACCAGATAGTAGTTTTAAAGCACTGATACGGATCAACGATCTGCAACTCCACCCGTGTGGCAACACACACGATCAGAGAAGATGGAACCAATCCTGACTCCAAGCAACACTCCCTGGAGAAGTATCCTGGACGTGTGCTCCCTCCACACCTCACGGCGGCAGCGGCAAATCAACAGGATGGGATCGCCATCCTCCAGTTCCACAGGAATAAACCCTAGACGACTTCACCAAAAGCAAAAACTAACTCTCATTACAGGCCACATTGGGCTTTTATGTTGCACGCAGGCAATACAGGACCAAAGTCCTACTCGAGCAGGCCCAAACAAACAAATAAAAAGTAATCTAATTATGTGATTAATGGTAACGATGCCGCTAATAACACTTACCTTAATTAACCTATAAAAGTACTGCTCGCAGCTAGGCCTTCTCCTTTCTTTTGTTGTTGCACGGTACAAAAGAAAGATCCAACCTGAACAATACTCCTAGATGAGCTATTATGCAAACATGTAGAAGCATCGATAGAGATAGATGGAACTTTGATGGTCTCATCAGGACTGGGAGGCCACCTACTTCGTCCAGCACCGCCCCAAGAACAACGCCGCCGACTTCCCGGACATCCCGCCGGCGGCGAGGGAGTCCCTGGACACGTACATCGCGCAGGCGGTCTCCCTCGCCGAGTTGCGGGCCGGCTGCATCAGCACCAACCTGGGCCTCAGTGACACTGACCGCGTTAGGGACGCCTTCGCGCCGCCGTTCGTCGGCACGCGGGATGGAGCTCGACGCCGCGGCACTCGGTGATGCCGTGACGGGGTCCTTCCCGGCCAGGGTCGACCGCGTGGCCGTCGCCGAGGTTGAGCTTGTCCCCTCGCCCTGGTCCGCCCCCGGGCTCGACGCCGTCGTGCGTGGCGTGACCCGTCGGCCGGCTTGCTCGGAGTCCCAGAGAGGAGAAGAAGAGTGATAGAGTGACACGTGGGGCCCACACGGCCCCCACATTTTTTATTAATGCGTGTTAAACTGACACGTGGGTCCCACGGGGTATATTGTTTTTCTTAGATCGAATTGCCACGTAAGTGCCACGTCAATACCACGTCAGATGAAGACCGAGTCAAATTAGCCACGTAGGCGCCACATCAACGAAAACCGCCCTCAAAACCGCCAAGTGACCTAATCTGCACCGGTTTTAATAAGACCCGTTGTGTCTGGTTTTTCGGTTGAGGAACGAAAATCGGATTCGTTGACAAGTTAAGGGATCTCAGATGAACTTATTCCTAATTGGCATGAGCCAAATCACGGCCTACCAATGGAAATAAACCTGGATTTAGCCCATGCCTAACGAGTAACGAGACCCGAAATGGGCTGGAAATTTAGTTGATATTCCTGGGGAATAACCGAATAAGTTCATATAATGAGCACCGAGTAAAATTAGGCCGTGTTTTGTTCGTGCGCCAAATTTTTTTATTATACGGACACACATTTAAAGTATTAAACACAAACTAATAACAAAACAAATTACAGATTCCGCCTGTAAACTGCGAGACAAATTTATTAAGCCTAATTAATCTGTCATTAGTAAATATTTACTGTAGCATTACATTGTCAAATCATGGTGTAATTAGGCTCAAAAGATTTGTCTCGCAATTTACATGCAAATTTTACAATTATTTTTTTTATCTACATTTAATGCTCAATGCATATGTTCAAACACTTCATGTGACGGAATTTTTGGAAGTTTGAAGGGAACTAAACACAGCCTTAGCCACGTAGGCGTTATGTCAGCTGAAACCACCGTTCAAACTGCCTTGGGACCTATATTGAACTGGTTGACAGTTGAGAGACCTGTTGTATGTGGTTTTCCGGTTGAGATGAAAATCGGATCAGTTGACAAGTTAAAGGAACCTCGGACGAACTTATTCCTGTTTCCTGGTCATCTCTGAAATGGGCTGTGCTAATTTATCAGTCTTCCTCCGTACCAAATAAATGGACGCCCAAATATAATAACTCATGTATGCATTCTGCGTGCATAGCCAGAAAAGGATCGTAATATGCGTTGATGGGTTGTATTAATCTGGGAAGGAATAAGTTCAGTTTAGGTCCCTCAATTTATTGCTGTGTCTGAAACCTAAACCGAAATACCGGGTATAACCTACCTCTCAACTCATAACACCATGTCAACTTTGGTCCCTTGATGATATAGTGGCTAGTTTTGGGTGATGTAGTGAGTGGGACCCACATGTCAGCAACCAACCCTTCTTACTCTATCATGTCAGCACCGTTCTCTCCACCGCCCACCGCTAGCCGAAACATCTCCCTCTCCTTCTCCAGCTACTCTGACATCATGCACGGCCCGCTGTTCGTGTTGGATTCAACCTGTTATATATATGGTATTTCGGTTTAGGGACGAATTTCAAACTTATTCAATCTGGGAATAAACAAATAATGGGCCAAAATGTGGTTCTGTTAAATTCAGGGGATAATAAACATATAAAGTTTATACTGTGTCCCTCTACTATAGCCCGAGTCTAATTTCCTTCCTCAATACAACGCTTCCCTCAATAATCAATGTTGGTGCAGTTTGCCATCATGAGTAATTTTGACTGTGGTTTCATCCTACATGATGCTCACACGACAATTTCCATCAGCGGGAAATTTTTTCTTTAAAAAAAATCGGATGTGGCACTTACGTGCCATTACAGTCAAGAATGAAAATAAAAATTATAGTGAGACCCATATGTAAATGATCTCTTTGTCGTCAACCCTCTTTCATCTCTTCCCATCGATAGGAGGACCAACCTTGCTTGGCATTGGATGCACCCTGCCCTACCGGTGCCAGTCGACCATGCCCGCATGCAGGCTACAACCCTTTGTTCACCGACATTGAAATCTCTCTTGCCCACACCTTCCGCATGTTGCAGGTGCAGCTCGAGGCCATCGATTGCAAGATTGAGGGCAAGGTCAGCACTGCTCATGGGGACCTCTAGTAGGCCGTCCTCAGGCGCCTCATCGATCGAATTTTTTTTTATTTATACAATTTTTATTAAAATATTTACAAAAATAATTTTTTGTTTCAAAAATTTACAAATCTAATTGCCTGCCGCTCTTTGGGTGGGCGATTTTTAAAAATCGCCCTTCCAAAGAGCGGCAAGGGACCTAAATGCAAAATTTTTATTTGTGTTCAAACCCTTTTCACTGGTTTTAATTGCTTAAAAACTAATAATGCTTATTCGATACTCTATGATTTTAAATGGAAAAGTGATAAACTACAAAGTTATAAATCTCATTAAGATCTACAACTTTTATATAAAGTTTATCTCCATCCAATATCGTTTGAAATGTAGATCTGAGATTTTTTGAAATATGTTTTATATTTTGTAACGAATATTTGGATATCTAAAACATCTTAAATGAAAAAGTTGTTAACTACAAAGTTGTAGATCTCCTTGAGCTCTACAATTTTGATATAAAGTTTTATTTCATCTGACTTTATATAATATAATTTTAAATTGTAAAATCATAGAGCTAAAAGTTGTGCTGGAAAATTTGCATTTAGGTCCCTTGTCGCCCTTTGGAAGGGCGATCCCAAAGGACGGCAGGGGATTAGATTTGTAAATTTTCAAAACAAAAAATTATTTTTGTAAATATTTTAATAAAAAAATATATAAATGAAAAAAATTCCTCATCGATCTATCTCCCAAAGCACCGTGGGCTCAAGCCCGACTTTCTTCGTTCCTTCACCTGGCAACGTGACGCCACTTCGTCCCAAGAGCTGATGTCAGAGGGAAAGTAGGGAGAGAGGAATTGAGAGGTAGGTGTACATGACTCAGTGAATATTTTGTTTTTAATTTTTGCTCGTAATGCCACGTGAGAGACATAAATATCAAATTAACTCGGATTGACCCAGTCAACACACCACATAGGACGAATCCAGTGCGAAAGAGGTAAATTGAACCGTATTGGTAGATGAGGGAGTTCCACATCATGTTTTATAGTTGAGGGAAGATCATTAGGGGCCCATCCGTTGGTCAAATAAGCCGAAGCCAAAGCTAAAATTAGAATTTTCAAATTTAATTTTAAAATGTTTTTAGATATTTTCAATAGTTTCATTTTCAACAATGGCTTTTAAGTCACTAAAAGTACATATATAAAAATTTTACCAATAAATTAATTTTATTTCTTAATAAGCCGTCTTAGCCTTGGACTAGAGTCGTGGAATGCAAAATAGAATTTTCCAAAATTAAGAGCATGCATGTAAAAATATTTTTATGGGCCAAATCCTAGGCCATAATAATTGTGATTGGAACTGTAGGGCACGTACAGATTGTAGCCAAAATAAATCTTACCAAATTTTGAAATTTTGGTATTGCAAGATGACAATATTGTCAAAATTTTAGCATGATTTCTTATGTATTTACTAAATTTGGTAACAAACTAAGCATAGACATTTTTTCATCAATTTTACCAAAAAATGGTATGGTTTAAAATAACATCAATCTAAACAGCCCCGTAATTAGCCCATTCCTAACTAGGCGTCTAGACCTAGGATGGGCTGGGAATTGATTAGAAATTTCCAGGACATCTCTGGATATGGGCTGGGCTGGGATATCAACCCTACGAAACAAGTACCAAATGAGAAACCGAAGCTGCGAAGCAGAGAGCATAAGCATCGACTGGGAAAAAAACTACTCTTTCTGAACAAAAGAGCCTGAGTGCTTTGACCCGTCAAAAATTCCTCATGAATTGGAGTCGCTCTCCATTTCAGCAGTGCAGCATCTACCGATCAGCGTCAGCCAAACTGCGCAGCAACAGTAGCGAGATTAAGCAAATTAACTGCCCAGGACTTGCACGGTTGCAATGTTCTGTACTACCTTTTCTACTGTCAAAATTGTTCCACTGCAGTCTGCAGAGACAGCGAGTGATGCCTCCTAATCTCATCGCATCCCACAGTGGAAAAGCACTCACTGTTCCAGTAAACACAAGCAATTAATCAGAGAGGCAAATCAATAAGCAGTAGTCCGGCCATCATGGCATCCTGTACCGATGAGATAAGGGAATTGAGGAACAAGTAGGTAATTGCTGAAAATCCCACTCTGATCCGGATTATTCCCGTCGTTTCGCCGATCGCTACCTACCTACGCGTGCATGGATGGATGCATGCATTGGCTCCGATCCCCTGGTCGCTTTCACGGCCACAATAATTCAGTCTAATCGATCGTGCCCTTTTTTGACCTTTGTAGTACTACTAGGAATTTCATTTATTTGATTAATTTGTTGTTTATTTGGGCAGCTTTAATCTTGAGATAAGGCAGTGCTTTCTGCTTTAGCATGTGATCGATCGTGCGCACATTCTCTGGCCATGGTTTAAGATTATTTCAAATCAAGGGCCCTAGCACACATAGAGTACACACAATTAGAAGTAACATGAGTAGAACTAGCAGCAGAGGCGACCTTTTTGGCTTCTTCTTTTTCCCGTTTGTCTTGTCCCATGTTAGCGAGCTATGATCAGCATTTCAGCTATGTTTTGGCATTGCCCTCCGATGAACAGGCCGGTTTTACGTGTGTATATGTATTACTTAAGACCCTATTTAGATGGGACTAAAACTTCTTTTAAGTCACTATCACATTGGATATTTGGACACTAATTATAAATATTAAACGTAGACTATTAATAAAACCCATCTATAATCTTGGACTAATTCGCAAGACAAATCTATTGAGCATAATTAATCCATGATTAGCGTATGTGATGCTAAAGTAAACATTCTCTAATTATGAATTAATTAGGCTTAAAAATTTTGTCTCGCAAATTAGCTTTCATTTATGTAATTAGTTTTGTAAGTAGTCTATATTTAATACTCTAAATTATTATTTAAATATAGAGACTAAAGTTAACTCCCTAGATTCAAACACTAGAAGCTACCGGTCTGAAGTTAAGACAGAAGTTACTGCTCAGATGAGAATGCTACTGGTACTACATTTTCAGCAGTACAAATTCCCATGCATACAGTGACAGGCACGCAAGCTAGTGTCGACAGGAGGAGGCATCAGAGAGGAGGTCACTGTTACACTCAACTGTGTCGTACAAGCAGGCGTAAGTACGTATCTGTCGATTGAACGGCACGCCGGCGTGTAGCATCCGGCGAGCATGTCATTCAGGCGGCCGTCGTCGTCGTCGTCGTCGTCCAGAACCTGGCCGGAATCGCTGTTAACTTTACGCAGTACAGAACCACGTAACAGCTGCGTGCATCCTCCGATCGACAGGTGCAGCAAAGCAACGACACGTGCGCCACGGCCGCTTGGGTTAGCTACTGGCCGAGATAGGAGAGAGATATTTTCGTCTCCTCGATATTCTCTTCAATTTCAATTTTTTTTAAGTAAATTTCAGAAAAATGACAAAACTATTTATTTGTTACAACATTAGTGATATGTTTCAGTTTGCTATAACAATAGCGGGGAAATTATTATAAAGCTACAACTTTTACGTTATATGCTGCTACAGTACATATATGTGACACCTGTAGCAGCATATAACGTAAAAGTTGCAGTTTTGTGATAATTTCCCACGCTATTGTTGCAGCAAATTGAAACATGTCGCTAATGTTGCAGGAAACTGATAGTTTTATCACTAAAGTTGCAGATTTCTAAAATTTACTTTTTTTTTAAGTATTCAGTCGTCTAAAAATACCTATAAATTTTTAGTCTTCTTTTTACACTTCTTTTTAGTCTTCTCGTGTCTGATGACTCGCACCGTCAAATTCATTCCTATCTTCTACGAGCCACCCCACGTCAACCCCCTCCCACCACCAGCATCCATCCCGCGGCTTCGACACCTCGCCATTCACCTGTGTCCACCACCTACCGTTAATTTTTCATCACTTTATAGTCATACCTCTAAACTCATACCGCTAATCTTTCACTACTTTATAGTCACCATCTTCAACCCTGAAACCCTAATCCGAGGAAAGCCTGCTGAAGTTTCGGTGTCGTTGGCACTTTTACCTTCGCTGACGCTGGAGAGTCCACAGGAAACTGTTTTAAACACTCGGGTGGACGTCCACCCGTTTTTTGCATGCTATCTAAATGGTTATGAAAATTTTTCAAAAAAATTGACAAGATAGGTTAATATGTAATATATCACTTCACAAACATGCAAGTTTAAATTCGACTTCTACAAATTGTAACAAAAATAACAAATTTGACTGTGAATATACGTATACTAGTTAGAGTTTGATTTGTTATTTTTGTTACAACTTGTAGAAGTCGAATTTGAACTTGCATGTTTGTGAAGTGATATATTACATATTAACCTATCTTGTGATTTTTTTTGGAATTTTTTCATAATTATTTAAGTGGCATGCAAGAAACGGGTGTACGTTCACCCGAGAGATTAGAATCCATCCTCTAGAGTCCACAGCATCTTCCTCCTCCTCTGTCTCTCTTTTCTGCCTTCCAGATCCAGTGCAAGGTTGAAAGTGACTGATTAAATCTTAGCAATCCTTTTTTCTGGTGACGGCGACGACAGAAGAACATGCAGAGCGGCCAACACCACCGGACAACCGCACTACTGTTGGAACTAAATGGGCAAGGCGGCTAGCTCGACGCAACACACTGGAATCTGCCGCCAAAAGGTAGGGACGAGGCCGGCCTCCGTATGATGAGATTCTTCCAGGATCCTTCCTTTTCCCCCGCCATTCTTGCCATTAACGGAGGGAGGGAGAAGTAGACTGGATTAGATATATTATCGAGAGGCCAACAAGGTTGGAGACGAGGTACTCTCTCTAATCTCTCTTTCTCCTTCGCTTTAATCGTCTGGATCGATCGTGGGTTGGTCATGCCACGTCAAAATCGCAGGAGACTCTCTGATGCTGACAAGTGACAACCATGAGATGGCAGCGAAAATGCAGTTCATGGCCGCCATCAGAGTTGACCGGCCAGCCGCTTGAGATCTCGGCTCGAATTGAATAGCACGTTCTTAATTTGTTGGCTGCCCCCTGCAGTGACCCCTAACTGACGCCACTAACCTGAATTTCGTGATCCGCGTGATGAATTGCGGGCGAAAGATTGGTTGACGGTAAAAGAAAACGAAAGAGATATGTAGAGAAGAGATTTAATTGGTGCAGGGTGCAGCAATCTGGCCAGCTGCTTCCAAGTAATCCTCCTGTCGTGCTTGTGTGTATGGTCGGATTCATGGACGGGGCCTGCAGAGCCAACTAACTGAAGATGATGATACAGATTCCTGATTCCACTTCACTAGAAAATTCGCAATCCTAGCGTCTCCTTTTCTGTCCTTAATTCGTACGTTACGTACGTCTCTAGCTGGCTCCCCAGTGATCTTTATTGTTGGTAATGCAACTTCACATGGATAGCCACTTGAATTGTTTACAATATATTGGGAACAATGGTTTAGGTTTATTAGATAACGGATACAAAAACTCCTTACTAATAGTAGTGCATGTCCGTTACTACTTACTAGGCCAGGCCGGCCTCAGCATGAATAATCTCAACTCAAACGGACCTAAACGACTTTTTTCGATTTCGTGTGAAAGACGCACGTGCACCAGGGTTTGCAATTTCGGTTGCCGCCAAAATTTCTGAAATTTCAGTGGTTGCTGAAAATTTGAAAATTTCCTGATTTCTAGGTTTTTCTGACTGAATTGTTTGAATTTATAACATATTTTGACTAAATTTGAACAAGTTTTGACCAAATTTACAAATATTTGACAAACAAACGAAAATCTCGGGGAGATTTGTGCTTGCCGGTGAGGGCCGAAATTACCGAAAATTTCAAACCATGGCGTGCACACATCACACTCACACACCCATATGAGTCCCCTAACACATACTTAAGGAGATAACCCACGAAGATATTGCGACCTATAGTATTGAGTATATATAGTAATTTGGAAGTCATATATGCTTTACTTTGTTCGAAATTGCAACATGTTCTATATATTTAAGCACTGTTCACAAGATTTTGTTTAATTTCCTGCTGATTAATTATTTCTTTGACTTTCCTTCTCTGTTTTCCTATTTCATCTGCAATTCTGCACTTGACAGTTGTACACAGCATAAATACTAGTATACTAGAGTAGTGGGATGTCTGAGACTGTGAGCCATCCTTTTGGACCAAGGCTGAGAGCCTCCCGTACTGCATTGCATATGTTCTTTTGGCTAGTTGTAGTAATAATGAAGCCCCATATTAAATAAGTCAAACGAAATAAGTTGAAACCTTTTTGCAAAAAAGGGAAATGAAATTGAAACCATTATACACACACAAGGTTCTTGTAAAGGAAGAAACATGCATTAATTATTGAATTTTCTGATGGCATGAAAAATTAGGATGATATTTCCTAAATGAATGGATTTACCTTACTGCCGAGGGCTGGGTTATACCGCACCCCTGTGGTAAGCATGGTTAATACGCGCTAACAACTTTTTATATTGATAAACTTTTAGAATAGTTCAAATTATTTTAAAATTTATTTAAATTTGATATGGTTATTGCACGGTTACCATTACCGTACCAAGACGGTAAGCCTGGTTACCACATATTAATATTATCAACCCTGTTTGGTGGTATTTTTTTTCCTAAAGATGAAGATGAAGATTAAGTTTTTTACGCAAAACGAGGTGGTATTAACGTATGATAGATTGAGTTTTAATTATTACAAACTTGAAAAATAGATTAATATGATATTTTAGAGCAAACTTTTATATAGAAAGTTTTCGCATGAAATGCACCGTTTAGCAGTTTGAAAAGAGTTCCACGAAAATCTTAATCTTCATCCAACTCTTGTTGGAGAAAAGAATGGGATCTTAATTTCTAGAAGAATATATAATTTTGAGCACCACAGAAGAAGAATTTGCCATAAGAAAGTGCATTTCTCATTTAATTATGTAATTACAAACACATCTCTTCACTTGGAAATACACCATTCTACCTCCTTTTGGTTAACATTAACACGGACCAGAAACAATCAAAATTAGTAGCATCGGTTGGAATTAATACAGGCAGTATACAAGCAACAATAGCATAAACAACACTCTATGCAACCTGTCTCAAATTCCTCTTTTCACTTTTTTTTTCACCACACGTGTGACAATAATAACTAAATAGTAATTAGTTAATTAATTTTGGTTGATTAATTGATTAATTAGGATACAATCATCTGTACTTCATCTCGACCACGCGTAATAACGTACGGTATGTGCATGCACGCGAGGTGCTCGATGAATTAGTAGGTGGTGGCGAACGGCTTGTAGACCTTGAGGTCGGAGAGGATTCCGGCGATGGAGCCGGCGGCGGAGGCGACGGTGATGGCGAGGCAGGCGAGGCTGAGCAGCTGCAGGCACACCCACCGCGTGCTCCACCTCGGTATCCTCTTCTGCACGATGTACATCTCCACCGGGAAGTAGACGGTGAGCGGCCAGAACCCCACCGCGCCGAGGAACCCCACCACGTCGTTGAAGAACGGCAGCAGCATCGACACCACCGTCGTCGCCACCACGAACGCCGACCTCCATGTCAGCCTGAACAGGTTCAGCTTGTAGCACCTTCCGCCGCCGCCGCCGCCGCCGGAGAGGGAGAGCGGCACGTCGATATCCTTGGTGATGTACCATGATTTCGGCCACCGCTGCTGCGCCCACTTCTCGACGAAGGCGAACAGCGGCTGGCAGTAGACCTGGTAGGCGCCGACGAGGTGGACGACGATGGCGGCGTTGGCAACGTCGAGGAGCCAGAAGGGCTCGTAGAAGCCGAACCCGGTGAGGAGGTTGCCCGGCGCGGCGTCGCCGAACGCCGCGTACCCCGTGCAGCCGCAGAGCATGTAGAAGAGCGTGGTGACGGCGACGCTCACCACGGTGGCGCGCCGCATCACCCTCGACTCCGACGGCGGCGGCGCCCGGATGGTGTCCTGGATCTCGATGAGGATGAGGGAGTAGGAGTAGGCGAAGGCGATGTCGCCGAACGCCTGCAGGCTCCGCCACACCTTGTCCATGGGCGTCACCACGCCGATGCTGATCCCGGTGAGGCTCCCCTTGACGCCGCCGTTGGCCACCACCTGCACGACGCCGAGGCCGAGCCCGATGGTGGAGTAGGTGAACGACATGACGGCGGCGAGGATGGACAGCCACGAGATCTGGTCGAAGTCCGGGATCTGCGAGAAGAAGATCTCCGCCACGCCGAAGATGATCATGTACGGCGTGCTCGAGATGTTGCACGGGTCGCCGTGCCCCTCGACGTGGAAGCAGTTCGCCCGCTTGATCGCCCTGTTCATGCCATGCCAACCACACGCGACATGAGCTCACCACGAATCACCATCAATGGAGAGTTCGTGCGGATCGATACTCACAGCATGCTAATGGAGGCGGCAATGGTGTAGCCGATGGCGACGCCGACGATGTTGGCGTACTGCAGGAACCCGCAGACCTGGACCTTGATGCCACCTGTTCGAAGAAATGCCAGCACAGTGAGCACGACGACATGGGCGCGTACGAGGCCGTCTCTGACAATGATACGTACTCAGGTTGGCGTTCACGGCGTCCATGTAGGTGTAGTTGCGCTTGCCGGTGCTCTCGTCGCCGGAGCGGTAGCAGTCGGCGAGCAGCGCGGAGGTGTAGTAGGTGACGAACGAGAAGAGCAGCATGACGGCGGGGCCGGCCACCCAACCCAGCTGCGCGATCGCCCACCCCAGCGACAGCACGCCGGAGCCGATCACCGCCGTGATGATGTGCGCGCTCGCCGTCCACATCGTCCCTAGACAACACATCAATGTCAGCAACGACAGCCATGGTCCATGGATGAAGCTTGGCTCGAGGCGCGAGCTCCGATCCTTACCGGTGCGCTTGAGGCGGCCGTCGTCGTCGTACAGCTTGGAGCCGGCCGTGTGGCCGAGCTCGGCGGCGACCACCTCCATGGCCGCCGCCGGGTAGCACAGCTTGCTCGCCACCACACCGTTCTCCCCCATCTCTGCACTTTCCACAAACACCTGATGAGCAGAGAGTGATCGATCGAGTGGCGCCAAGACTTTGCGTTCAAAGTCGTACGTGTTTGTTGGTGGGAGAGACTGTGCGTGCGAGTGAGAGATGCAGAGTGGACGCGGCAATTTATAGCCGCGACGCCGTTGCGCTCGCTCACGCGGCCAAGGGTTCGGGTTTGGGGGATAATTGTAGAAGGCAATTCAAAGGGAATATTAATTATTTGTGCAGTGGCCCTATGGTTTTCTAGCTAGCATTTGTCCCTTGCTATCTTTAAGAAGAAATCGATGTAAAGGGTTAATAATGTGAGGGACTTGAGGGGCTGAGTTTGTTGACGTATATGCCTCTGGCATGTGTGCGGAATATATGACCACTTGTATGTTCCCGCTTTCGTATAATATAGACGTGTAAGAGCATGATAGTACTTGAATATGGTGGTAGTTCTGACATGTTTTGGCATAAAACCTAGTTGTGTGACTAGCACACACCTCTAACAACCTTTTTTTTTTCTTAAAATAAGTTTTAAATTCAAAGCACATCCAAGTATATCTGAACTAAATGTATTTACTCACAAAAGGTAATGCAACCATGTGTATAGTTAGTGGTTGTTTGATGTCGTAATGACTACAAACCCTTAGGACGGCTCACTAGTAGTGGTAGTTAGACTCATCTATTGTTGCAAGGTCATATGTGAAAAAAATATATAATTTATTATAAGCTACTTTTATTTATTGAGGGGCTAGCATCTATAGCAGTTATCCAACCATAACCTCTTAAAACAACCACTGTGTTTTTGACGTACATGTTGCAGTTGTCCATAATTAATGCTATAATATATGAGATTTTTCGAGTATAGTCAATCCAATATAAGTACCTATATATGGTCCATGCTGTACAAACATATTTCCAAAAGCTTTTTTAAGACTATTTCCGAAATCAAGCACCAACTAAGGTTTTCTCAAGAGAGTTGAGTGTGGACCACACACAAAACACAAACTTCATGGCGCAAAAACAAAACGTGGTGGAATATAATAGTTGGGCCCAAAGTAAATCGATCGCCTCCCTCCAGGGCCCAAAGGCACATGTCTGCAACTTATTGCTCCTGACTTAGATCTCTATTAAGCTAGCTAGCCGGTACTTGCATGCAGTATACATTGGACTCACGGTGGTCAATGACTCAATGATGTTATCAGCGAGCTTACCTACCTATATTTCACCTGCATATGCCCCCACACATGATCATCAAATATCACGGTGTTACAATGCCCACTACATCAAGACAGGTAACTTATAGGAATATATGCACTTATCATAGCTAGCAAAGAAAAGATTGCAGCAGTACAGTAGTACACATATGTTGCTAGCACACTGTACAGCTAGCTTAATTTTGATCATGCATATATATGCATCCATGCATATTTACCTTTGCAAAAGTCTCCTCTTCTTGATCCCCTAACCCTCTTCCAATTGAGGAAGAGAGAAGTGAAGATCAAAGAGAGAGAAGAAGCAGGGTTACAAATAGAGATATAGTTGGGGTTGAACTTGGTGTGGTGTGTCATCTATGTGCACAATGGATGGGTTTTTATAGGGAGAGGGTGGTGTACTACATGCATTATAATTAGTTGTACGACATAATGGTAGTACTTAATTAGTATACCAATTACTGAGAGAACTAGCTAGGGAGGTCCTTGCATCCTAAGGTGTTTTTGTGCCCCATGGTTCTCGACCACCCTTTAGTTTTAGAGGGAATATGTTCGGTGTTCCCCATCTCTGGCATGAAATTTAATAAGTTCAGTGCCCACTAGGGATAGAGATCATATCAATGATCTTGTTCTCTTGGCTGGATCATTCCCCTTGTATCAAAGGAAAAGGGAAGACTTTGTGGAGATGGTTTTGCACATTCTGGTTATGTCAAAATGGCCCTTAACGGCAAGTAAAGAGGTTATTTATGTGATAGTTTTATAAGTGCTGGGAGAGACCTAATATAATTGAGCCCAAGTGTGTATTATTTAGGCCATCCATTTTGCATCCTAGCTGCATGTTAGTGAAGGGCTCGGTTAATTGAGCCCAATGCAAACTCTTCATGATTGTGCATCCCCTTCCCTTTCATTTTTTTCTTTAGAAAAAAACATGACTTTGTAATATAATTTTAATATCAAATAGATAGCTTCAAAATAATATATGATCCGTATCATGCATAAGATCAACTTACTGTACTGCAATTGTTTACTCATGTTCATAGATACAGAACATATATATTGTCATGCATGACTCGTGAATATGTAGCTTTGCTTCATTCAGATTTTTCTTTTGTCGTGGAGAAACTGAAATGCTACTGATCCCAGAACAAATATATAAGTTTTCCAAAGCCAAAATATTCAAGTATTAATTTGGAGTAGTATATATAATGCACGAATTCATTCAATTCTGAAGTTGATTACTAGAGAGTAATGATCAATGCATCTTTGATAACTAATTCCGGTGGATTATCTATTTCATGAGATGAATTAATTAGCCTATGAAAGCACAGCAAAATAGTAACTTAACAACAATTAGTTTGATACTCACAAAAAAAGCGATGACACAAAAGCGTTGCCAAATTAATGCCTTGCATGGTTCCTCCTTTCGTAACTAGAATGCCGACATCAGCATAGCTAACGCACACCTCAAATCATAAGCTACTTCACTACACTACTACTAAATATGTTACTAAAATAACAAATAATCTAGTTCCCCTTTATCGCCTTTTGAAATTCGAATATCACCCTACTTTTGCTTGGCTGAGAGATTCCACTCGATTCATATGATGAAACCCTGTTAATTTGACCAGCCTAATTAAACACATTATGATCAGGAGAGAGAAGAAAAGCAGTGGCAAGAACGCAACATTCCTTCTCGATATGAGAATCTTTTGCAGGGATTAAGTTGAACACAATATTTTTTTTTTGTGTGTGTGTGCAGCTGCGGGCCGTGGGATCACCTAGATACAATTATCAAATTAATAACAGCCGAGCTAGTTGCACATATATAAGTTACACACAGTGATGATAGATCACTGAGCTAGAGCTAGTGTTTAGTATCACTTTATCTCGAGCACTTAACGGAAAGGAGAATTAAATCAAGAGTACCCTGCACACGTGGATCAACGGGTAACGCTCGATGTTGTCGGCTTAATTTAATTAGATCCTACGAGCCGCCAGCTGCTGCTGTTTAATTCACTTAATTAGAAATCAATTAACTAGCTGGGGTAGTACACCGAAGATTCTGAACTTCTGACCATTTGGAATATCAAAGTCAGCTGTGGTGGCTGGCTACGCATGCATTCATAGGGCGACATGTTATATGCTACGAGCAGTAATAAACTTGGAAAGCTGACGAGGATATGTGGATTTTTATTTGTAAAAAGGTCATCACAGGGGCCCCCATGCACGAGGCACACAATGTACAGCCACCTGGGAAAGCTTTGGCAACAGCAACCAGAGAGAGTATGATAGCTCCGGTAGCTGTTCGTCTGTTCGATCCCTTACCTAAATTCCCCATTACAGCAGACGAGATGCACTGATGCAGGCCCGGTTCAGACAATCAGAAATTCAGAATAGTAGCTGTTACTATATGTTATAAAAGTTTGTGTGTGTGTAGCGGCACGACGACTAACCTTCTCGATCGCTTCAGACATTTATCATCCAAGACACGCCAGATGACGACACAGGAATACACGATATTTGTTAACGAGATTCAATCAAAACCTACATCCCCGAGGCTCTGATTATAGGCACTCCTCCCTAACAAATATAGCTCCTAGCAGCTACGAGTTCATGGCCTCGCCGCCATCATCTCCCTATGTGTCTACGCTACATTGTAGTCGTTATGCATGGTTATATTATAGTTACAGAGCACCTCCTACCACCTATTATAACTCTAAGTCTAACTATAATTAAATAGGACTAGTATATTCGACATGTATTAATCTAACACTACGCATCAGTAGTGGTAGGAGTACCTTTTTGAGAGCGTGTGGAGGGGGAGGAGTCGGCCGCGCGCGGGGTTCCTTATCAAGCGTTTGTGGATTCTCTGGGATGAGAATCCGAGAGGATTTTGCTGCTATCAGTGCGTGCGATCGATCTGCCACTGCATGCAGTGCTGCACTGCAGCAGCTCATCTTGCCGGCTTTTCCAGCCACATCCCCCCTGCCGATCGATCAGCTCCGCTCCTGCTCAGCCTCGCCGCGCACAGTGTTTCTCGTACGTACGCGCTCGCTCTCGCCGTTTGAGAGATCGCAGAGGCCAAAGCGTCGGCATCATCGATCGCTTCCGCTGGCCACGCGCTCGCTGCGCGGCTGCGGCGGGAGTGCACCGGACGATCGATCGTCGATCGATCTGTGTACGTATATATCGGGCCCTATTTACGGGATCTGCACTGTATCAGCAAAATTAGGTATGTCTGGCCGGCCTGATCACATCGTACGGTTCCTTTGGTAGGAGAAAAGGGCTGGGCTCCATCATCCGCTAGCTGGTGGTCTGGTGGATGTATGGATCGATCAACCGTGCGTGGTCCACGACACCACGACGGGAAGTCAACAAAACGTAACGTAGTCGAGTGGCGGGCGCTGGCGCGCAGTCAAAGCCGATGTCCGATGACCGAGCGCGACAAAGCAGCGGGAGCCCGGAGGCGCTTTTCTGTGTGGAAAAAGAACACCGAAGGTCCCTCGACTTACACAAAACCGTTCACTTAAGTCCTTCAGTGGTTTTAGCCCCGGTTTTGTCCGATGTGGCGGCTGAATCAGCGTAGGATCCACGTGGGCCCCACATGTCAGGGTGTACAGTCAGCACCTCCCTCTTTCCCCTTCTCTCCCTGCCTCCTCTCTCTCTCTCTCACTTTTCTCTCGTAGATCGGTCGACAGGTGGGGAGGAGACCGATGGGGGCATGGGGTGTGGCGGGAGAGGATTTCTGGCGACCGGCGACGCCGCGGCGGCAGGGGTGGTGGTGGCAGCGAGGCGGAGCTGAGCAGGGGAGTAGCTCTGCTCTCTTCTTTCTTTTCTTCTCTCTGCCATAGTGAAGTAGCAACGGGTAGCAGCGAGCGGGGCTGAGCGGCGGCCGGCGGAGGCATCGTGCGAGGGCGCGGCGGCTAGCGGAGCCGAGCGGCAGAGGGCGGAGGCGGCGTGCGAGCGCGCGGTGGCCGACAGAGCAGAGCGGAGAAGAGGAGGGAGGCACCACGACTGTACCTCCGGGAGCCCCGCCATGGCCTCCCGCAGCGCCACGCTCCTCCTCTTCTTCCTCGTGCCCTCATCTTCTTCCTCGAGCCCTCGTTTCCCCTTCAAGGGAATGGCGTAGGAGTGGACGGCGGCGGCGGGGGGGGGGGGGGGGGTAAGGCAACGGCGATGGCGGCGGCGGCGGTGTCTCCGGCTCACCGCCAACACCTTCCACTGACAACGAGGAGCAGCGGGGACGAGGCGGCTCACCGCCGACGCCTTCCACTGCATCGCTTGATGTCGCCGCCCAACTCCCTTGCCGCCGTCGTCCTGCTCCCGCCCGTCGCCGTCCACTGCTTCCTTAGCCACCGCTGCTACGGGCTCTCCTTCGCTGCCCTCGCTTGCCCGCCGCCATGCGTCGCCGTACCTCACGCGGTTGTCGCTGTGCTCCGGGAGCCCCGCCATGGCCTCCCGCAGCGCCACGCTCCTCATTTTCTTCATTGAGCCCTCCTCATCGCGCCACCGTCGTCAGGAAACGACGGCCTGCCCCTAATCCACTCTGCTCTTCTAATCGGTCCCAAACCTGCGCCCGCGACGCGTCGTACACCGCCACCGCCACCCAGAGTCGTGTGCCTTGGCGTCCTTGCCGCCGCCGCCCGGGCCTCTCCGACGGCCCGACCCCGAGGTCGCACGCGCGGTGAGCCGGTGACGCTCTCCCTTCTCCCGCATCGTCGCCGCCGCCGCTGTCGCATCGCCGGCCCGCCGGATGTCCTCTCCCACCTCACCCCGACGACCTCCCCACCCGCGGGGCATCCTGCAGAGGGGAGAAAAGTGAGAGAGAGAGAGAGAGAGATGAGAGGAAGGGGGAGAAGGGTGAAAGAGAGAGGTGCTGACGGTACACCATGACATGTGGGCCCACGTGGGTTCCACGCTGACTCAGCCACCACATCGGACAAAATCGGGGTCAAAACCACCGAAGGACCTAAAGTGAACGATTTTGTAAGTTGAGGGATGTTCTGTATCTGGTTTTGCGGTTTGAGGTTGATTTTGTAATTCGATGACAAGTTGAGGGACCTTCGGTGTACTTTTTCCTTTCTGTGTAGCACTAGCACCGCAACCACAACGGCCCAAGACAAACCTGTCCGTGTACCACTTCTCTGACGGCCCACGTACTTACTCCAACCTAGATAGAAGTAAACTACC